TCGGGAAACGTCGGGCCGCGATTGCGTCCGCGGCTGATCGCAGTTGGCCGACCAGCCGCCGCCTCTGATTAACGACGTCGGCCATCGTCGTCTACAGCGAGGCCGGTTGCTCTCTTCCCGCGCGGTGCTCCGTAATTATAACATCGAAACGGCGAAACAAAAGTTAGCTAACCGCGCTTGGGTAACCGCGCGAAAGAGCCATGGGCAGAGCCGTGCGAACGCCGGTGGTCCGGCCGAAGAATAAGAAGAAGAAGAAGAAGAAGAAGAAGAAGAAGAAGAAGAAGGGACGGACGGGCTATTCGGCGGCGGACTTTCGGACGCCTTTTCTACCAGGAGACCCCCCCCGTTGCGCTGCGTCTAAGAACATCCGCCACGCTCTAGCCGACGCCGGTTCTTGAACCCGGCGAACCCGGTGAAAGTTTGCGAAGAAAGCGCAGCGCCCCCTCCCCCTCTCCCTCTGTCTCTGTCTGTCTCAATGAGCGAGCGTTCGGCTCATCATGAGCGATCCCCAGCGCGCCATCGCGGCCGTTCGATTCATCTCTCGTGAGAGAGGCCATTGACACTCGCTCGCTCGCCGGGATTGTCAAGATCGTGTAACGACTCTCTCGCGTGACGCGTGCTGCGAGTCTCACGAAAGATCCCCAGCCTCGTGATCCGCTCGGTGATCCGCGCTGCGGGTGAGGCCGGTCGCGCGACAATCCGATGACATTGAATCCGAGCGACGTGTCGCCTCTGCGGAAATAGAGCGACCCTGAAAGTGAGCGAAGCGATTTTCTTCCGCTGGACGAACGACCGATTCGCAAGTTCCGCTTGGAGACACCAGGATGCTCCACCAGGTGCTGGAGTCGGTCGGCCGGGGTCTTGGCGGTTTCGGCTGAGTTCTCCGCTGACCTCGGCCGGGACTTCGGGCATCTTTCCCCACTTTCTTCTTCGCTTCCAACTGCAAGTGAGAAAGATCACGTGTCGACGAGAGAACAACGTCGTCTGCACGAGCAGAAGAAGAGGGGTCGATTAAGAAAGCCCAACTTCGGGGAGAAGAAATCGACTTTCCGGAGCCTCACCCGGGGGGGTGAGTCTCGAGCGCGAGGATGTTGTCGAGACATCGTTATCGAAGAGAACACCGACGGGAGAACGCGAACGCCAAGCGAATCCCGCTCGGGGAAAGGGAAGAGACTCGCGTCCGCGAAGTGGTGGAGGAGGTGAAATGCGAGCCGACTGGAGAAAGTAGTCGTTCCGCACGCCGGGCCTTTCGCGCGAGCGGGAAAGTACGAGGCGGCTAATTTCGCGATAAGCAATTGCTGCAATGATCTGATAGCTCCTGAAAGCGCCTCCGCGATTGTCGCGTCTTCGTCCTCGCGAGTGACTCGCGCGACGTCCTCCGGGGGGGGGGGAGACGGCGACTCCTCTCGCCGGAGAGCGTTTTCTCGCGCGAGCTACGCCACTGCGTGCGCCGCGGCCGAATATCGTGTGGGCGGGCGGGGGGGGGGAGAGAACTCGCGTCGAAGGGGAGCCGAGAAGTTGCCCAAGAGAGCCAAGAATATTACGCGCGAGCGACTTCCGCGTTGCAGGTTGATCAACAGACGCGCGCGACAGAGCCGCGACCGGCTGCAGTGCCGGTTCTCCCCCTTCCCTCCCCCCCTTCTCTTTCTCTTCCCCGTGCTTTGCTGGCTCGCCACCGCGAGAGAGCCGAGAGCGCGAGCGGCCGCGAGGCGATAGCGGCGCCGACGAGATGGCTCAATCGCGGTGTCCTCTTGCTAAATTGAAATACCTTTTGCCTTCGGGCGCGCACGTAAAAGGTTGCGCGGACGAAGTCCGCAGACCTGAGGCTTCTCGCGGACTCCTCGCACGCAGCGGTCGGCGACGAAGGGCTTGGCTGGCGCAACGCGCAGATTTCACACGGCGAGCCAGAGGAGGAGACGCGCGTCCTCTCGGCGAGAGGACCTCGCGTCTCTTCCTGCTGGGGTTCGCGGCAGGTGAACGCGGGGAGGCTCGGAATCGTGTTTTCTACGATGAGAAGAAAGCAACTGGTATTCGCGACTCTGATTAAAAAATTCTGTTAAAAAATTAACAATCATTAATTAGAAATTTTGTAATGAGGACAAGTATTTTCTTTTTTCTCTTTACGGCAAACGTGGGTACGGCGTTGACGAAACTAGAGATTTTTTCGTTGCTACTCTTCTGCTCCCTTTGAGGCCGCTTTTATCAAGCTGCAGTTAACCAGCCATTTTAGTAACCTTGCAGGATTCCGACTGAAGCCGCTGCGAGGAGAAATAGAAAATGAGAGACGAAGCAGCGACTTCGGTCGGAGTCCTGCAAGGTTACTAAAATGGTTAACTGCAGCTTGGGCAAAATAATTCTCATGAATGTTCCCATTAAATCTCAATCCGATTTTAAGTCTTTGTCTGAGTGGAGTTTAAACTGAAATTAAGGTTTGATCGACAGAAATGACAGAAATGGGTATTAAAGCGAGAAAAGATTGGTCGCATTCAGCAGAAAAAGCTGCTTATCAAGCGCTTAGTGATTGTCGTTCTTGATTGGTTCGTTCTCTTGGAATTTGTCAAAGATTTAAAAGAATACTCCAATCATAGTAATAATTATGAAGCGCTTAGTAAGCAGCTTTTTCTGCAGGGCAGCGATCATGAATCTTTTCCCTAGCGTGAACTAGTGAAAAGTGAAAGACTTCTTGTGAATTAGTGAAAAATGAAAAATTTTATATGAATTTGTGAAAATCGAAACATTTCACACAACAATTGAGTCGTTCAACATGGCAGTTGTGTTCTGGATAATTCTTGATAAATATCAAAGAAATCAAAATGATCAATATAATAATATCCGTGTAGCGCGAAGGATATTACGTGACATGGAAAATCCGTTTGATATTCCAGAGAAAATGTTTCAAAATATGTTTCAAAATATACAGGTAATATAAACCTTATGCATTATTATACTTGTCGACAAAAAAGTTATCCAACTTTCTGTAAGTTAATATATTTTTCCTTCAAGGTAAAATAGGAAAAAATATTGGTTTTATAGGATCGATATATAAAAAAAATATATATAACGGAAATTTTTTGACTTATATTTTACCTGTTGTATCCACTATACAGTTACAAATCTAACAGTTTCCCCTTTCACGTGTTAACAATGGTCCTTTGTTGTTTCTTTTTTGCCAATCGCATAACCAAGTGAGATTAAAGTCACTAGAAGGAATAGTATCATTTTTCACGTTTTAACCACATCGTTTGATGGTTGAAAATTTTCATGGGAACATACACAACTTACATATAAAGAAGGATATAGATGAGCAAATTGAAAATTCGCATGAAATATTTCACGTTTTGAGAATTTACATTTCACGGTTAACGTTTGGATCAATTATTATATTTACTTACATTATATTATTATATTACATTACAACTATAAATTTTAGCTGCATAATGCTTATTAGTACGTTATACTTTTGTATACTATAATTACATTTATATGTTAATTATCTGTATTACAGAAATATTACTTTTCACTTTTTTACAATTCACTTTTCATGTGAAATTACTTACAGTGAAAAGTGAAAAATGACAAAGAAGTTCACGTGAAAGATTTATGATCGCTGCTCTGAACGCGACTATTGACGGTGGAAAGCAACTGTGATCTTTAGTGAGATAAGCCATTTTTTCCCCGTATGTTTCCCGCACTGCTTTTCTCTCTCCTAAGAAGCCTCGACTATGCGTTTGAGATCTCGATTCGATTTTCAGGAAATCGATCGATTTTTTCCTCTAAAAATTGTTCTTTTAAGTCGATTCTTTTCCACTCGATTTTTCGAAAATCGATTCTTTCGATTCGAGCGTTCATTCTAGTTGAATTCTTCATTAAACGAAACAACTTTGATGAATTAAATGTATCGACAAATCGAAAATCGATTCCTTCGAACGTTGACTTCAGTAAATATACCGATAGATCGAAAATCGATTCTTTATCGAAGGAATCAAGTAGACAAATCGAACAGAGAAAGTTACTTTTAAGAAATCTGTTCTTTTCTGCTCAATTTTTTTACAAATCGATTCTTTCGAATGTTGATTCCAATTAAATTCTTCATTAAACGAAACAATTTTGATAAACAAATGTATCGACAGATCGAAAATCGATTCTTTATCCAAGGAATCAATTTATACAAAAATCGAACAGAGAAAGTTTGTTAAAAAGAATCGATTTAAAAAAGATCGATTCTTTCAAACGTTGGCCTCAGGTGAGTCCCTCATCGAACGAAACAACACTGATGAACAAGTATGTACTCGAAAACTGCATATTTATCAAAAAGATCGATGTGAACAAAAACCGAGCAAAAAAGGTCGATCTTCGAAAAGTCGATTTTCGAAGGAAAAAGATAAATTTTCCGCCCATCACTACCATATACCCGTTTCTCTCCCAAGACCTAGAAAACTTAATTCAGCTCCGGCCGCGGGCGACGTAGAACAGGGTCGTCGCGCCGTTCTGAGAAGAGAGAGAGAGAGAGAGAGAGAGAGAGAGAGAGAGAGAGAGAGAGAGAGAGAGAGAGAGAGAGAGAGAGAGAGAGAGGCCGATAACGGGCCGCGCGAATCTCCGCGCGCAAAAACCCAAGTAAAGCCAGCGGCACACGGTGCTTGTTTTCGTGCTGGATTGCTTGCTGGATGAAAATACTATGCTCTGATTGGTGCATTTCCATCCATCTTCGGAAATGCACCAATCAGAGAACGCAGTATTTTCATCCAACAAGCAATCCAGCACGAAAACAAGCACCGTGTGCTGCTGGCTTAAGATCCGTCAGAGCCGACTGTCTCGGCGGCCGATAGGCCGCTATTCTTGCGCTAATCGCCGCGATGCTCTTCATGTATTGCAAGGCTGCTAAAAGCGTGTGAGCGAGCGCAGGGTGGTGATCAGCGCGTCGCGCATGGCGTTAGTTTGCTACCTTCGCCGAGCTTAAAAGTCCGAAACCCTAATTGCACCTCGGCCCCTTCCTGTTGCAGAACGCGCCTGCGCCTGGAGAGCCTGGAGGACGCGGTGATCGTGGAGAACGACGACGACAAGCTGACCGACCGCAGGGGCTGCCCGGCGTATGTCGCGCCGGAAGTGCTGCGCTCCGGGCGCGCCTACTCCGGCAAGGCGGCCGACATCTGGTCGTTGGGCGTGCTGCTCTACACGATGCTGGTGGGCCGTTACCCGTTTAACGACGCCGAGCACGCGTCCCTCTTCGCCAAGATCTCGCGCGGCCTGTTCGCGGTGCCGGAGGGCCTGAGTCCGCGCGCCAAGTGCCTCATCCGCTCGCTGCTGAGGAAGGAGCCGTCCGAGCGGCCGTACGCCGAAGACGTGCCGCTGCACCCCTGGCTGTCGAAGCCGCTGCGGATATGCGCGACCCCGGCCGGCAGGTCCTCCTCCGCGTGCCAGGACCAAGTCGTACCAGAGCTACCTACCAATCCTCGACAAGACTGACTCCCTCGCGGGAGGGGAATTATTATTATCGCGCGCGCCAGCGCGTCGTCGCGAGCGCCTGGTCGTCAGCCTGGTGCTGGTCTCGCGCCGACGGCCGCCGTCGTCGTCGTCGGCTCGAGCCCTCGAGCCGAGAGGAGGGGCGGGTCATCGCAATCAAAAGACGGCGGAGCGATGTGACCTTGTCGACCTTGCGGCTTCGTGGCTTCGTTTCTTCCGTTCCCTCCCGTCTTCTTCGTTTCCTCGCTCTTTCCTTCTTACCATCGACACATTGGCTGTGCTCGCGTGGGACAACCCTGAAGAGCTGTCTCGCGTCTCTCGCGTGTTAGTTTGTACACCGCCGCGCACTCGGGCTGGAGACGAGAGCGAAAGCGCGGCTGAGAAGGTTCGCCACGGGTGGATCAGCGCGCGGAGAAACCGAGAGGCGCACACCTTGGCGGTCAATGTGTTTTAACGGCAGCTGAAACACACACACATACACGCACGCACACACACACACACACACACACACACACACACACACACACAACACACCTGCTTCAGCCCAGACTCGCTCGCGAGTAGAGTTCCCAAAGCGCGGATTACAAGCGCGGCCAAGGATGCCTGATCCCTCTCCTTCTCGCCGGCGAAGACGGCCTAGAATATAAGCTTCGAAGAAAAATAGAGAGTACCAACATCGGATAAGAATAATCGTTCTCGATGGAATTTACGCGGGGAGAGTGCGGCAAGGTCTATCCTAGGCGCGGGTCCCCGCGGGGCGGGCCTCCTCCTTCGCGTTCAGCGCCGCAGCAACTTGCAGTTGAGAACGAAGTCGAAGCTGGGAACCTCGAGCGGGATCGAGTCCACTCTAGTCTTGGGACAACTCAAGGTCCAAGCGCTGAACGGCGAGACTGTAATTAAAGAGGAGTCCTCTCGCGACTTCGCGCTGTCGCAACTTTGCTCACTCTTCGCCAACAATTTCGGAGGCAGTCCGACGCAAGTGACGACACACACACACACACACGCGCGCGCGCATCTCTATCGGCTGAAGAATCGTAGATTCGGCAGGAAACACCGCTGTTATAACGGGCCAAAATCGCTCTTTCGCGAGCACGCACGCGCCGCGTGCTCGCGAGTCCCTTTTGTGATAGAATCCTGCGAATTCTAAGCGACTAATGTGATACACACAAATTGCGACACATACACGCACGCACACACGCACGCGGACGTGTTTCGCGAACGAGCGGATCACTCGCGGTCGCCTGTCTCCGGAGTCCATGTACGTTAATCGTTGTCGTTCAAAACGATCGGATTCGATGTTTGTATCTGCGCGTTAGACTTACATCCTCGACTTTCTCGACATATTTCGCGCGTGCGCCGCATCTACACGATGATTTTTATGCGCTATACTATATATATATATAGAGAGAGAGACAGAGAGAGATATATACATATATTATATATATATATATATATTATATATATACATATACGATCGATCCATGTACATACGGGAGCGAACAGCGTGTGTGTAAATTCACCCGGGCGAGGGGATTCGGAATTCGTGTAATGTAAATTCAAGTAGAGAACCAGTGAGCTTTATACGTATGTAGCAAGGATCACACGTAACGTGAAGCGACGGGCGAATAGGGCGGGCCGGCTGCTGAGAGCTGAGAGAAGGAAGAGGCCTTCGCCTTCACCTTCGTTCGAAGAGAAGAAAATCGGCGACTTAGCGCGGCAATCGCTTCATGACGACCGGCCCTGCGTTAAGCTATAATCGCATTAGCGGTTGCCAATTGGATTACGATTGCGATTGGCGATTGGCAATTAAAATAGAGCATTGTCTAAACGGTAATCACCAATCTCAATCGGCCTGTGCCTGTTTTGTCCTGATCGGTTGAAAAGTATATTGCGCCAATCGCAATTGCAATCCAATCGGCAATCCTAGTGTGGTTACTGCTTTACTGGAGCGAGTCGAAGCGCCCCGGGCGAGTCAGCGGCGGGTTTCCAAACCCTGAAGTCTGACTCGCGTTTCGGCCCTCCTGTTTCGCCGTTCGCTATATCGTCTATCGAACGTCAATCAAATCTACTTAGATGGGCAACACACATCGAACGAGCGGACACGTGTCTCGCGCGGCTACTCGAGTTCTTGTCGTTCTCCGACCTAAAAACATTGCCTGCACCGTTCAAGACTGCTTGGACATGTGGCCTATGTAATTAACTCTATTAGAGACCGAAACCGAAACGTCGATCGCTGAATTTCTAACTTAAGAACAATAAAAGAATACGCTTCCTGGGCCGCTCGCGACCGAACCGACGACGGCCCACGAATACAAATGTGTTCATCGAGCAGCAATGTTTTCAGGTGGAGTACTCTTAAATATATATAGTGAAAAAAAAAACAGAAACCGAGATGAGAATACATCCTCTTCTGATTATATCAGATCTCTGGAATCATCGCTTGCGTGATATACATACACACACACACACACACAAGCGCGCAGACACACACGGCTCACTAGGTAGGAATCGACTAGCTCGGTGATCGTCGGTGCGATCGAGTTGCCTCGGTGCGAAAGCCGCGACCAGTCAAAGCATCCGCAGCACGTCCCGGCTTGGCAGTGCACGAGGCGAAGGCAAAAACGCAGGAACGCGACGGCGTTATCGATCGAAGACAAGATCGCGATTCGATCCTTAACTCGACCCTTAACTCGATCCCTCACGTTCGACGAAAGTACCATGTGTTCTTGTATTTAAAGGTATCTTACCTACCTACCTATCTACATACCGACCTACCTACCTACCTACTTATCTACGCGAGCTCTTTTGTAACTTTGCCGAGAGGGTTAAGAAAGTAAGAGAGCGAGAGCAAGATAGAGAGAGAGAGAGAGAGAGAGAGAGAGAGAGAGATACTTTTCCTTTTTATTTTGTAATCCGCGAGGAACCCCTTGCGGTTCCGAGACTCCTCTCGTCGTATTGTGTTTTCAGTCAGGGTACCAACGCGCCACGTGCGTTTCGACGTTTCAACTCTGTGTACATATATGTTCGACTAAGTCCTGTCATTGAAATCATTAAGTGCGATAAGGGAATATCATCTGTGTACATATAGGCAAAATAAAGTGGCGTTTATGAACGGACGTGCCTCGACGTGTCTTGTTTCGTCGCGCCGACTTCTCAGTCGTTGGCTATTTCGCGAATCTCTTCCGCCTCCGCTGCGATCTCTGAGCTCGTGAATATTTCGGCTCGTCTCTTCCGGGAACGTCAACATGACCCGGAAATCAGTTACCAATATTTCCTTATGCCGTGAGAACCTCAAATAGCAAACTCTATAGAGTGTGTCCGGGATCTTTTGGAAACGAAAAATTGTGAAGATTAATCAGATCAAATTGAGAAGAAAAGTCAAGTACTATTTTGCAAAAATCCTAATAATTATCAAATTATTAATAATTGAAAATCACAACATCTAAAAGCTTTCTTAACTTTTTTTATGATAACTTGAAAATTTGCGTACTTATTTGCAAAATGGTAAACGACCTTTTTGTTCAGGAAGATCTAATCTACAATTATCAATGACTTAGTTTTTAGAAGGTTTTGCAAGAGATGGCACCAATGTCAGTTTTGTCGAAGACATTCCAATCACAGCTACTGTTTCTTAATGCTTTAATATTAATCCACTGATTGATATTTATTCTTTTACAATAACGATAAACGCAGTAAAAATCATGTCACTACCATCTTAAAAATGGAGCTTCCTGAAAAGCATTTTCGTGCGTTGCTTTTGTTTTTTAATCAGAAAAAAACGGCGGCTAAAGGTCATAGAATTCTGATAGAAACTTATAGTGATGTTGCTCCATCAATCAACACACGTGAATATTGGTTTAGACGATTGAAAAGTGCTAATTTCAATGTTAACAAAGGTCGCTCGAGGCAATCAGAAAAGCTTGAAAATGCAGATTTGCAAGCATTATTGGACGAATATTCAGCACAATCCCCTTCAGAACTTGATAGAGCATTAAATGTTGATCATACAACAATTACTAAACATTTACATGATATGAGAAAGATTCACAAAGAAGGAAAATGAATTCCATATCAATTATCGGAAAATGCCATTGCGAACCGGTTGGATATTTGCATTTCGTTGGTCGCGAGACAAAAAATGAAGAGTTTTATCGAATATCGAATTGTTAGTGGGGATGAAAAGTGGATTTATTTCGATAATCCCAAACGAAACAAATCATGGGTTGATCCAGGCCAACCACACCCACTTCTAGGCGCAATATTCACGGTTCAAAGGTATTGCAGTGTATTTAGTGGGATCAAGAAGGTGTTGTGTACTATGAACTATGAAATCCAAATGAAACTGTCATCGCTGATAGTTACCGACAACAATTATACAAATCGAGCATTGGACCAAAAACGATCATCAATTGCGAGTAAACGACGCAAAGTGATCCTTCTTCACGACAATGCTCGATCTCATGTTGCATTATCAGTGAAGCAAACGCTATTAGAGCCGGAATGGGAAGTCTTACCGCGCCCCGCGTATTCTCCAGATATTGCTCTATCCGATTATCACTTGTTCCGGTCGATGCAACATGTTCTAGAGGATACACACTTTCATAACACTTCCGAACAAGTGCTTCGGAAATTTGTTGAGAACTGGATCAACTCCAAAAAAGAATCCTTTTACCACCGCGGAATCCGTCTCTTGCCGGAAAGTAGAGATGTGCGAACTATTCGAATTCGAATCGAATCGAATCGAATCTAATGTAATTCGATTCAATTCGAATCCGAATCCCTATGATTCGAATCCGAATAATTCGAATAGGAATCAAATACATTATCGTTTACGTGCATCAGCTACAAAACGGGCCGTCTGGGCCTGTATGTTTGAACCCTTAACTTGTAATTAACTTAACTTGTAATTAATAACTTAAGTATAAATTACTTTAATTATTTAAATATATATTTTACTTTAAGATGATATTATAATATCAAAATATTCCCTTTCATATTAAAATTTTCCATCATTATTTGCACGTTTAATAGTCATGTTAAATTTTTTAATGATCCGATTCGATTTCATTCGATTCGATTCGAATTCGAGTGAAATTTCATAGATTCGATTCGGTTCGATTCGACATAAAAATTCTTGATTCGCACATCTCTACCGGAAAGACGAAGAAAAGTTGCGGAAAACGAAAGAAAATATTTTGATTAAGATATTCATTATTTTATTTAAGTAAATCAGTTTTTGAAAAAAAAAAAAAAAGCTTCGAAACTAAATCACTAAATCTCCTAATATATGACGGCGATTGCGCCTAGCGACGGAGGTTCAAGATTCAGGATTCAAAGTTCAATGTACTCACATATTTATCGCTAAACACAGTAGCCGTCATATAATTGTAGATTAGGTCATTCTGAACAAAAAAGTCTACCATTTTGCAAATAAATAGGCAAATTTTCAAGTTCAAAAACTAGATTCTCTGGTTATCTTCAATTAGCAATAACTTAATAACTATTGCGATTTTTGCAAAATGGTACTTGACTCTTCTTCTCTGTTTGATCTGATTAATTTTTACAATTTTTCGTTTCCGAAAGATCCCCCAGACACCCTGGTTATTTTGATTCTCCTTTCCGGAGATTACATTAGCCGCAAGAACTGCGACGAGAGACTGAGATTAAATGTCAAATCGGGTCGCCGGCAAAGAACCGAGTCGATTGCTAAAAGCGTACGCTCCTGCGCGCGAAAGATATCGCGAAAGTGTCGTTGCCTTTAGCTCGAGATTCTGATTTGAGGCTCTCTTTTTGCTGAGAATAACGTATGCAACGGTGATAATGCGCAGTTTTTTTTAGCATCTAGCTGAAAACTGCGAGCAACACTTTAGATAAATGCACGTTTCGAGCAATTTGGCCGCGCGATAGTTTATCATGTTGACGGATACATTGTTTCGCATGATTCACGTTTCACAATTTATTTGAGTTAATTTTAACGGTGATTGTCGACCAAATACCGCAGTCGACGGGCTGTCAACGCTGCGATCTCGCTTGGGTATCGATCGTGTTCCTCCCCCTCCCCCGGACATGAACTTGTGGAAAGTAAAAAGTTTCATGGACGGATTCAACATGCGTCAACAACACTTCACACTTTCCGCGAGTTCACGTCGAAAGTGAGAAACGCGAAAACTTTTCAAAAGAGTGAAAAATCTCATCGGCAGATTCAACTCATGAAGAGCGAACTTGAAAACCTTCCAAAAACGAAAGTTTTTCACTCGTGGAAAGTGAAAGGTTTCATTGACGAGGTCAACACCCGTCATATTCTCTCACTTTTCACAAATTCATATCGAAAATGAGAAACGCGAAAACTTTCCTAAAGAGAGTGAAAAGTCTCATCTGCGAATTCAACTCGTGAAGAGCGAACTTGAAAGCCTTCCAGAAGCGAAAACTTTCCACTCGTGGAAAGTGAAAGGTTTCATTGACAAGTTCATCACTCGTCATATCTCTCGCTTTTCACAAGTTTACGTCGAAAGTAAAAAACTGGGGAATTGTCCAAAAGCGAAAAGCTTCATCGACGAATTCAACTCGTGAAAAGCGGACAGTTCGAACATTTTTCCAAAATGAAAACCGTCAAGTCGTGAAAACCGAAAAAATTTAACAACGAATTTCAACATTCGTCAATTCAACTCATGGAGACTGAAAGGAGACTTTCATAGACGAATTCGACGCTCGCCAAGTAACATTTTCCATTTTCCACATCAGAGAAAAAGAGACGAACTGATGCCCCGCAAATGGAAATTCGCCCTTTCCCGACGAACCTTCCTAATCGGTGCTTACTAGAGCGATAACTTGAGCCTGTTTCGAAATTGGCTTCGGAAACTTCGAGTTTAGTTATGAGATTGATAGATTATGAGATTAAACTAACTTAGATGCATTCCGTGATTGATCAGCTGATCACGCTTGGACGTCCATAGCCGAACACTATTTCCGTTTACAAGCTTGGTTTCAGTTATCAATTTTCTAATATTAAGTAGAGAAATGGATAAATTTTTTATTATTTATTATCAGGGTTAGGAAGTTACCTGTAACGAAGTTACAGTTACAGTTCTTTTTTGGTAACTGTAACTTAACTTCGTTCTGTTTTTTTCATCTATAACCATAACTTAACTTAATTACATCTGTTTGATAATTAATAACTAATTTAATAGTTATTTTATATGTTTCAAACTTAAGTTTTTAGCAAACCAGCACGATAACGCGACGTGCGATGCTTGATATCCAATAAACATACAGTTATTCTTTTGCATTTGGAAAACGCGTTATCTATCTTTATCGTTTATTACATTAAAACAAGGATAAAATGACGCAATAGCGCTAATAGTCTCCTCTCGCAACCAGTATTTTTTTAAAAAAAATTGTACGCCTATTGGACATTTCCGTCGCGCGTCGCCAGTTTTTATTTGTTAACATAACCTGCGTTTAGCGTGAAATGCGATGTGTGGTTTAAGTTATATAAAAAATTCAAGCAATGGATAAAACATCTCAATCTTCGGAGAAGGATTGTAAAATGCCATGACCAGCATATGCAGAAATATTCGAGTTACAGCAAAAATCTGGAAACGGGAATAACTGAGCATTTCTCTGCAAAATATGTGCTAGCAAAAAAATTATCCATGCAAGTAGAACTTCAACTGCAAATTTAAGAAAACATATGAGTGTCAGTCTTTATTTATAAAACATCAATATATTTTTTAGTGAAAAAACTTAATTTTTAATGTTAAGATTACTTTTAGTATTTTTAATATTTATTATCCTCATAAAATTCGTTCACTTTCTTATAATTGTTATCAATAGTCTTAAAGAATAAATATGGATTGCTCATTTAAATTAATGAATCTAATTTGTAAAAATTATATACAATATGAGGAATATAATAATCAATAATTTGCTTTTATATGAAATTGAGGGAATTTACACAATTACGAAATTTAAAATAATAGCGCAATTATTGTAACTGAAAAAGTAACTGAAAAATACCGACTTATTACTTTTTCAATAACTGTAACTGTAACATATTATTTTTTAAGGTCAGTAGCTGTAACTAGTTACTTTTCCAGTAAAAAAAACTGCAACTCTAACTAAATACTTTTACAAAGTAACTTCCCCAACCCTGCTTATCTTGATAATTTATCGATCAGCTGATCGATTACAGAACGCATCGAAGTCACTTTAAGGCCTACCAATCTCACAAACAAAATCAAAGAACCTCCGCAAAAAGGGTCGATTTTTTGCCCGTTTCTCGGTCTTCGATTTTGGAATCGGATTTTATGCCAAAAGATAGTTCATGATGAGACATTAATCACAGAAAAGTTTTACATTGAGCATACGATTGGTTTCAAAGATATAGAGGGTCAAAGAGGTCACTACCTACTAAGAAATTATGACACTAATAACGGCTTTATCGCACGAATTTTTGCAAAATTCGGTATCTATAGGTTCTTTGAGTTGCTGATTACGAATCTGATGTCAGATTTAAAAAATTCAAGATGGCAGGTGCAACATGGCGGACACACATAGTGAAACAATCATTTACTTTTATTGGAATTGTTATGTTGTGGCTTGTTGGCTAGCTGATTGCGAATTTTTTATTAGGTTTTCGAAAGTAATTTTTTCAACGACGATTTTTTAGTGGAAAACGTATTTTTTATTGTTTTTTCATAAAAAAATATGAAATTCAAATTGATACGTTACATGACGCATAAAGGATAACGTGATAGTTTTATTTGTTATATTTAGAAGCTTCTTCATTGCAGTTTCCGCGACTCTTTATAATTACATATCATTATATCCAATGATATAAAAGTTATCTAAAAATTCAGTTCTGAAGTTATCGGTTTTAAAGTATAACATAACAGTTCTAATAAAAGTAAATAATTGTCAATCACTATTTATGTCCGCTATATTACATCCGCCATCTTGAATCCTTTAAATCTGACATCGAATTCGTAATAAGCAACTCAAAGTACCCACAAATGCTGAATTTCGCAAAAATTCGTGCGATAAAACGTTATTAGTGTCAAACTTCCTTATTAGGTAGTGACCACTTTGACCCTCTATATATCTCTGAAACCAATCGTATGCTCAATGTAAAACTTTCTTATGATCAATGTCTTATCATGAGCTATCATTCCGCATAAAATTTAATTTAAAAATCGGGGAAATGAAAAACATGCACTTTTTACGCAGGTGTTCTTTCCGATGCCGATTTCGGGACGGGGAGGCCGAAACATAAGAATACATTCACCTAATCCGAGTGTTCGCGCGAACGCGATTGCAGGCAAGTTGAACAAGTTCTCCGAAAAAGATTCCGCGGATTTCGGCCAGGCCGGGGATGACGAAAGCGCGCGCGCGGCCGTTCGAAAGCGACTCGGGCCGCCGCGACGCGCGACGACGTCGCTGCTGCAGCGGGAGTGAAAAATGGCCGCGAACGTGAGAACAGGTGAGTGCTATGCGACGTGTGCGAATCGCCAGTGCGTCGCGCTCGTGGTCCCGTTTCGGCGCGATTTCGTCGACCGCGGACGCCGCCGTGTGCCAGGAAGTCTCCTCGCGCCTCCTCGCGCGAGCGTTCTCTCTCGCGCGCGCGTCATTCCGCGACGACGAGAATCAACGGTCTCGGCGACGCTCCTCGTCCCGCGAAGCAGCGGCGCCGACGAACTCGCGCGCGGCTCGGCGAATTTTCCTCGTGCGGGCCGATTATCAGGCGGACGAGATAAAAGCGCGCGTGTCGGCACTGATATTCGTCGAATCGGTGGGCGGAAGATATCGGCGACGCCAGGCGAGAGTCGCGCGTCAACGCCGACGTATCTGACACGTACATATCGCGTCTGTTATTGAGCACACACGCGTTTTGCGAAGTTCCTCGCCAGTTTATCCGCGGGGTCGCGCGTGTGTGCGTGCGTGCGTGCGTACGTTGCGTTGCGTTGCGTTGCGTTGCGTTGCCTTGCCTTCTGCGCACATGTGTTTTGATGCGCGTTCTCGCGGCCGTTCGTTCATTCGTCGTACACACGCGCGAGTGTGTGTGTACGAGGGAGGAGTGGGTCGCGTGAGCTCGAGGACTCGAGCACTCTGAGTAGTTTCTGCTGCTGACGTCTGTTGAATCGCTTTGCAGAAATGCGGATCCCGACGCGCGCGGCGCCTCGTCCTCCGGCCCACGGTGGGACCCAGAGGGACCCGATCTGGGGAAGCAGGTTCGTAGTTATCTTTATCTTTTTCGTTTCCCCCTTGCTCGACGTGATTCATCGAAAACTCGCTTCCGGGTTTCTCAGGCTCTTTTGTCTGTTTTGGCTCTTTTGTATCTCAGTCTGATATATGATTTTGTGTGCCTTCAGCAGTGACATATTTGCCAGCGCTCTCACTGCGACTCAGCCTGTGCAGAAGAAGAAACCGCCCCCCAGGCCACCACCTCCCAAGTTCAACCTCAATCACATGCAGTACCAGAGGGACCAGCAGAAACCAAGAAAGCCAGTAAGAACGAGTTGTTTAAATATGCTTGCACGCTGTTTCGTCACACAGCTCAGCTTGTTGACGTCAGTGAGGCATTTTTGCGAAACTGTTTACGTCATTGGGATATACACTTGTCACGCGGTGTCGCATCGACGGAACTGAGAAGTATGCTGTATATATGTCGCCTTTGAAACGCAAATCAAGTTTGGATGTGTCTGTGTGTATTTGAGCAATATCTGGCACTCATTTCGAGTCCAAACAAAGCCAAAAGAAATTTAGTACGCAGCCTCTATAGCTCTGCTATCTGTGCTGTGTCACAATTAGTGATGAGCTGAAAGGTTACTAACAATTGGCTATAACACTGTTAGCAGACAAATTAACCAGTTACTTGCCAGTCTGACTAATTAAGTGTTTATTGCCCCAGTGAGCAGTGAGTCATTCAATCTTGAAACATTGGCTATAGAGAAGCTGCTTTGCAACTGAAATTTATGCATCTGATTGATGTATGTATACTTTATTCTGGCTGAAATGTAAAAGCATATGCCAATATTTGTAGATTTTTCTTACATTTAAGCTTGTTTCAAAGGCTCAGAGCATAAAGCTGAAGCCTACAGTATTTACATTCTTTCGTCACCGTCAGCTTCTCAGTTATTGATTAGAAGATTTATTATTAAACAGTTATTACTTTGCAGCAAAGACATTGTAAGGCTATCGATTAATTACTGATTAATCACCTGATTCTGATCGCAGACAGTTGTTGCTTCTGTAAAATTGGATGTTGATGGAAACAACAATTTAGATCATTAATCGTCCGCCAATCCAAATGTGTGAAACAACAATTGGTGACATTTTTTTAACAACAGTTACAAAAATGCTACTAAAATGCGATGTGTATGGAGTCGACAATTTCTTTTCTTGCATTCGTCAAGAATTACAAATCTACCCTATATTTGTTCCAGGCCAGGCCGACGGAGCTGTTGACCAACTTCTTCGGGCGGAAGAAGCAGGAGAACTCTCTGCCATTACGTGCCACTGGCCAACTGGCGAATCCGCCATCGCAGTCTGCAAACTCCAGCATGACCATGTCTCTGATAGACCTCAGTCCACCCGGATCGCCGACGTTCACGACTCGCTCCAGTAGCGACGGAGTCAGTGTCGATAGCTTCGGCAGTGACGGGAATTCCAACCCGTCTGTGTTCACGAGCAGCGGGAACACGTCGCAGACGGAAAGTGCCTTCGAGGATGATTTTGACTTTTTCGGCTTGTCCGCCAAGAAAACGATGCTGAACGACCCGTGGCAGGCCAAGGCAACAGCGCAGAACCCGTTCGAGCCGCTGGACGATGCATTCTCGAACGGCGCTGGCGACACGTGCCTCTTCTCCCTCAACTCCAACATGAACCGCGTTGCGAACCAAGTGCCTTCTATTCAGACCAAGCCTCTTCCCATCACGTCGATGCCCACGATAATACGAGCGAGACCTCCCAAGCCGCCAGCGCCGAAGATACTCTTGAAGAAGCTCGAGCCGATAGCTAAAGACGTATGCGCTGGTTACAAAGCGCCGAGCGATACGCCGAGTAAACCGTCAACGTTAGGTTTCGATGTTCCGGTCGGCGGCACGGTGAGCAAGCCGTTGACGTTGGACTTCTCCAACGCGTGGTACAGCAACTACGGCGACGACGACGGCGACAGTCCATCGCCGCCTATGCCGACGATTCCGCCGCCAGCGCCGCCGGCAGATTACCTGTCGGAATTGAACGGTGACGTCGGGGTAAGCGTCGAAAACTTGACGAAGACTGAGGTCTGTTCTCTTTAGCTGAGCCAGTGCAGCACTGCAACACTTTGTCTCTTCTCTCTTCCGTGCAAATTCACGTACTTGTTTCACTCTAACGGCAAAAAGTGCAACCTGCTTCAGCTAAAAAAACAGACATGAGCCGCACTTGATTGTAACGACTAAGCGATATTCGTCGATCGAAGCTCGCATTCGTTGATTCGCAAATTTTCAGGTAAACTCTGACAAGCCTTACGGTATCGCGCTGTACGACTTCCCAGTCACTCATCCCGACGACCTGCCCCTGAAGGAGGGCGATGTCGTGCACCTGGTGAAGAAGATAAACGACGACTGGCTGGAGGGGAGAATAGGAAATCGCCAGGGGATGTTCCCGTTTAGTTTCATCGATGTGAAAGTACCTCTGCCGGGCTTGCCGGGCAACGTGGTCACGGCGCTTTACACTTTTCAGGGAGAGAGCGGCGACGATTTATCGTTTGAGGTATATATAAGTTTACGACGCGTTATGTCACACACTAGATAAGAAGCTTATTGTGTAATTTTTCAATATCATAGGAGGGGGCGAAGATTACGGTCATATCGAGGATATCGGAAGATTGGTTGTACGGTGAGTACAACGGTAAGAGAGGGCAGTTCCCGGTAAATTATGTGAACAGACTTCCGCATAATATCTAAGGACCCGCGCCACGAGTATTTTCTACCGAGGGTATTAACGATACGAATATTCCGGGAGCCTCCATATTGCAAACATTATTTAGAACTATTAGATGAGTCTTTGTAAATTTAAGAGAAAGAGCAGTAAGCAGAAAGGAAAAAAAAACATCTTTTATAGTAAAATTTTGTGCACGGGGAAAGAATGCAAATTTTAGAAAATTTTACCAACGGAAAGACTGAATTATATATACGATTTTTTATCGTCGCGTTTGAATAAGAATGATCTTCGGAAAGATGGCGTTTTGTTACACACGTGCACTGGTGATGTTTCAAATCAATCGAGTTCATTTCATTTTTAAAGATTTTGTGCTTTATATTGTTTGCAATATATTATAAGGGATGTTTCTGCTGATAGGCGAATTGCATATGTTTGTCTCTTTTTCTCCTTTTCATATCAGAACTTATCACGCATCCGAGAAAACAAAGAGATCGATTCTGTGACATCTTTATGCATCTTTTGTTCTTTTCAAATCATAGAAGAAAAGATAAAAAGGGGAATATCTGTATGTTTGTCATTTTCCACGTCCGACTAAGGTCGAGTCTAATGTGGGTTCTTTGAGAATTTTATTTATCCAAACATAATCTTGTAAGAATAGATTTCAAACTATTTTGTCCTTTGTTGTATACATCTATATATATATATATATATGAAGTAATTATTTAACTTTTAGTTATGCTTGTAAGACATAAAGTAGCCAATGGTCTGCCAATGTGTACAAATAATGCGCTAACTTATAAAAGAATAGAAGTCCCTTTATTTTGTTTAAACGTTCATCTCTCTCGTGTGTGATTCGAAGAATTTGTTCTTCATCGTCAAATTTATGAGCAATCAAATGAAAGATATTCTTTATCGCGTGGTTAATGTAGGTAGGATATTATCTTCTAGAAATCTTTAGACATATAGGGTGTATAAAAAGATTCCGGGACGACGAAATATCTCGAAAACTAAACGTTTTAGAAAAACAAATGTTTCGGACAAAAGTTGTATGGCTTCAAGGGGGACATAGAATAACTGTATCATTTTATTTACAAATGACGCCACTTTCGAGATATTCACTGATCAGTACTTCGCTTAAATGGAAATCCCAGTTTTTTATTATATCATGTTTTTCTACTAATTTCTACTAATTTGGGTAACTTTTGTCTGAAACATTTTTTTATTTATGATAAAAAGTTGGGGTTTCCATTTAATTTTATTTAAGAAATCCATCTGTAAACAAAATAATACAGTCGTTTCATGTCCTTTTTGAAACCATACAACTTTTCTTTAAAACATTTTTTTTAAATGCTTAATTTTCGAAATATTTCGTCATTTCGGTACTTTTTGTACGCCCTATATATGCATAAACATGGAAAAAGAGAGCAACGCAAAGAGTTATATATATATATATATATATTTCTTTATGCTGTATATATTGTTTGAATTGAATTGAATGTGTTTGATGCTAGGAAATATTCTCGATATTATACACCTTTATTTATGCACCATATATAAAAAAAGAAATAACTTTTCCTCTCTTAGGCATAAGTTGTAGATTAAAAAGTGATTATCTCGGCATAATATGTTGAACGTTTATATTATATTATATATATTTACGTGTATTTCCTCTAATTTATAGTGCTTATTATTTAGATTTGCTAAGAGTTACCAACATAACGATGGTATGGCATATGTATCACGTGACATACGTGTTGTGTATATTACGTGAATGCATAATGAAGTAAAGACGTGATTTATGGATAATTCCCTATACGTTTAATTTAACGTCAACACGAATAAATGCTTTTTTATACGTATATGTATATACCTAATCACGTGTTTGCAAGATTTATGTAAATTATGTAATTATGTTCGATGGAAATATCCGACTTGACGTATACGCATCGATATATTTAAGTATTTTTCGCCCGTGCGCGAAGATGTCAAGTCGTTGGTTGATGAATTGCTAGAGACGAAAAGGCAGAAGGGAATCGATGATTCGCCGGCTGACTGTGTGCACCGTTCTAAATTATTGCATATTGTCAGTCGGAAGTGACTGTTATTTTTCAATCGCGCGTCTCACTCTACTGGAAATTCTCACTTACAGTACAGTATTAACGCGAGATTTCCGTTACATCGAAGGTCTGCATGCGGGACCAGCATCTTAGCGTGTAAGGAACAGGAGATTTGAAAAAAAAGGGCGGTCGGTAATAGCAAAGTCAAAAGTTATATTCAAAATGTAATAACAGATATTCTACATGTATATAAGTAGTAGCTATTTAATTCTCTGGAGAACTACGCTATTATGCAAGAAACGCCTAATACGCAATGTGATATTTTGCAATGTTTAATAATAGAGAAAAGGAAACATTTCGCAAACGACACGGAGACACACACACACACACACACACACGTACACACATTATACACACGTACACACAAGTATGTATACAAAAACGAACTAGTAAGAATAAATAGAATTTACCGTATCTAACAGTTATTTTCAGAAATAGGCAAAAAAAGATATATATATATATATATGTATGTATAAAATAATCTACAAGTGATAATTAGATGTATATCAGGTCGGACATCTATTTACCTTCTATGTAATAAACTGCAAGTACGAGCCGTACAGCGTCAAAGAGTTTCGCTCGCATGCGGCTAAACGTTAGTGCTGATTCTCTCGTCAGCGTTGTCTCGCGCTACGTTGGCGTCGATAAAGCGATTGTTTCGCGTGACGGCTCGCGTCAACAACACCCTCGTGGAGCGCACAGTCGCAAGGTGCTTGTGACAATTGTTCCACGTGTTGCATCTCAAGATGCCCTTGTAGCACGGTAGATTCGAGTCCGTGTAACTTTTCAGCGTTTGCGTCACGACGCCGCGGAATTTCTTCCCGGTCAGATAATACAGGAAGAAGTTGATCGCGAAGTTCCAGTGGTAGATGTGGAAGAACAGGCCGCGGCACCATTTGAGAAACATCTTCTCTTGCAACCTGAAAGACACGTGAGTGATTCTCGAATTGGGCAATATAATTTAATTTAATTACACTATGTTTTTTATCTTTTCTATTCAGACACCTAAGAAATATCCATAACATCCTGTAAAAGTCCTCAAGACATCCAACAAGATATCTTCTGGATGTCTAAAGCTAGTATTCAGCTTTCATTTTCTCTTCCTTTCAAGACGTCCAAAGTATAAATCCCGGGATAAAATTTGAATATCCGCAGGATGTCCGCAATGTCCATCCTGGATATCCTTAAGACTTTTGGGGGATGCCATTGAGCTACCTGGGATATATTGGGTTGTTCAAAAAATCATTGTGTTTATTTTCGATAGATGGCTTTAGTTATATATATTAATGTATTGAACGTATTTATAAATTCATGAGTCTATGCGCGTTTGACAGCTGACACTTATAGCTTCCATCAGGGAAAAAAGTGCGCGAATCGATCAACAATTATTCTTTCTATAACGTTTTGGAAATGGAGAGTCAACACGAGCATTTTCGCCACGTTTTATTACTTCCGAAAAGGAAAGAACGCTGTGCAGGCTTGTAAAAAGTTGTATAAAGTTTATGGTGACGAAGCCTTAAAAGAACGCCTGTGTCAATATTGATTTGCTCGTTTTCGTTTTGGTGACTACAGCATGAAAGATGCACCTCACTCAGGTCGGCCATCGGAGGTTGATGATGACAAAATAAAGGCATCAGTTGAAGTTAATCGACGTTCTACCATTCGTGAGCTCGCTGAGACACTAAAAATATCGATTGGAAACGTTTACTTTTATTCGAAACAACTTGGTTACGTCAGTAAGCTCGATGTTTGGGTTCCGCATGAACTGAAAAAAGTTCACCTCATGAAACACATAGACGTCTGCGATCAACTTCTGAAACGTGAACAATTCGACCCATTTCTGAAACGCATGATTACTGGCGATGAAAAATGAATCGTCTACAAGAATGTGAAGCGAAAGCGATCACGGAGTAAACGCGATGAACCGGTCCAAAGCACATCAAAAGCAGATATCCATCAGAGAAAAGTGATGACCGTCAGTCTGGTGGGATTAAAAGGGTGTGGTGTTTTTCGAGCTCTTACCAAGGAATGTTACGATCAATTCGGACGTATACTGTCAACAACTCGACAAATTGAACGAAGCAATAGCAGAAAAGCGGCCAGAATTGATAAATCGCGAAGGAGTGGTCTTCCATCATGACAACGCTCGACCACACACAAGTTTGATGACTCGCGAAAAATTGTTGGAACTTGATTGGGATTGATTGTCGCCTCATCCACCGTATTCGCCAAACCTTGCACCATCAGACTGCTATTTGTTTCGGTCCTTGCAAAACTTCTTGAGTGGAAAAACGTTCGCTTCAGATGACGCAGATTGAAAGGCACTTGGTTCAGTTCTTCGCTAACGCAGATAGGAAGTTTCTCGAGAATGGGATCATGAAGCTTACTGAAAGATGGCAGGAGGTCATCAAACAAAAAGGATAATGTATCATTGATTAATGTTCATTTTTTGTATAAAATGAACGGTCTTGAAAATCACTGGAAAAGACGCAATGATTTTTTGAACAACCCAATGCATAATCTTCTAGGTATCTTCTAGATATCTTCAGCTATCAGATATTCTTACCAATGTATGTATCGCTCGTTTGTCTCCGCGTCTTTCGCAGGGTGTTCGATCAGAATGATATCCCAATAAAGCTCCAGCGTCTCCACGATCCCGAGCGGCAGTAACAGGATCAAATATACTATCGACACTGCGAGCAACGTCCGGCTGGAATTGTGCGTTCTGTTACTTTTGTACCTGAAATGATCTGAAGCGAGCAGTCCGTCTTGTGCAAATCTCCGCTAATTACGGCGTCATCGTACATGCAGCCGCGAGCGAGCGTGACTCACGGGTTAGCTCGTTGTGGATTTTGTTAGACTTTCTCACGCGAATGATTAACAGCAAGTTGCCGACGAATATAAAAAGCAAGGGCAGCCACGTTGATAGGGCTATGTAGAAGTACATGGCGCTGCCCCACGGCTTGATCATCTCCTGGCATGGTATGAATTCGAAAACGCTGTCGGTTTCGTACCCTATAAACGACGAAGCTTGTATCGTCGGATCGCAAGCTGCGACGGGGAGATTAACCTCTTAGCTGTCAATGACGGAAGTATCCGCGGAAAGAAAAGTGGCCCAAAAGGCTGATGACGTAAATATTCGTGTGTCCGAAAAGAAATATTTATAGCAGAGCAATTGGGACGGGACATTATATTTTTATGTTTTTGGGGTCGCTTCATTCAAATCCGAGATTAAAATTGTGAAATTCAAAATGGCGGACCGAAAATTCAAGAAATTGTTCGATTTGCATAAAAAGTTAGAATTCGAAAGTTTTCGAAGCCGCTAATCTCAAATTCAAAACAATAAATTCACGAATTCACAATAGCGGCCTCAGGAAACCCTCAATAAAAATTTGTATGAGGATCGAACGAATTTTCCTAGACAACACAAGATGTCTTTAGGATAATCCTGAATACGGGATGTCTTGGAATATTTTCCAGGATATCCCGATATATTTAGGATATCCTGGCATATTTAGGATAATCTCGGGATATTTTAAGGATATTTAGTTATAGTAAATATTTTAAATGAGAATTTTATGTGTATTCGACGGGATATTTAGTATTAAGCTGTCATTTGCTCTTCCTCGGAACATATCCAAAGCATATCCTGAGATAAAATTGGGACAATATCTACAGGATGCCCGCAACGTCCGTCTTGGATGTCCTAAGAATTTCGAAGAATATCATTGTACTATCTGCGTCTGGATGTTTGGTCCGCCATATTGAATTGGCCATTTCGAATTTCAAAATTTTCACCTAAAGTTCAGATTTAGCGATCCAACGCACAAACTCTCAGAGAAGGTATTTTGTTTATAATTTAATGACGATATATCCCATTGTCAAGATCAGTTTGGGCACACGAGCATTTTGATCGTCCAACAGCTAAGGGATTAACACAGCCTACCTCCGGAGTACAGCTTCGTCAAGGATATGACTGAGCTGATACATGTCAAAGTAGCGATGGTTATAACCGCCGAACAATTCTGGCAGCCGCGAGTTCGGAACGGAAACGTCACCGCGATCACTCGCGTCCACGTGAGAGCGACTACCAACCAGGTCGACGTGAATTGAAAGAGCTCCATGCTCACGGAACTTGTACTGCACAAGAACCTGCTATTCTGCAAGAAAACGTTGCCGTGAACGATCCTCCGTACTTGGATTCTGCCATTGACAAAATGACTGTCTTCCGCAGCCCGAAGTTTGCGAATTGCGCGACTTTTCGCTTTCCTTTGGGCGATCCGGGCTCATCCCGGAAAACATGTGACGTCACAAACGGTAATGTGTTAAGGTTAGGAGAATCAGCGATCGCTGATTCTACGGTCCCACGGGAGTGGGACGAGGTCGAGCTTGCGAAAATCGAGGCGAACTCTTCCCTTAACGACCGATCCGATCCGATCGGAAGACAATCATGCGGCGGCAGGAATATTCAATAACAATGCGAAGCTCTGATTGCGCATTTGAGACGTAAGTTTGACGTAGAGCATTACCATAAAGAGATCGTTGACGAGCGTAGAGTGCGATCTCGCGACGCTGACGGCATAACTGAAAATCAACGCTCCATTGTCCGATATAGCGAGCGCCCTTAGATAAAGTGACAAATTGGAGTCACATAGCACGGGCGTGCTCAACATACTAAAAGATACAGTATTTAGCAATACACCTATACGAAGTGAGTTACAGCTTTAAATGGGAACAATCAGGTGGCACGGCGACGCGACGAGATTCCTTACCGAGTATTATGATGAACGGCGTGACGTAGCCGACCAAAAAGCGGACGAATCTGACGAACGGCTGTAACGACAGCCAGTAGAAGCGTACTTCGCATGGCCATGTCGCTTCTAGGTCGGCTTGAGTGAAATTATGTATGAAATCCATCACTGTCACGGGCAGGGAGCATCTCGAGGCGGCCCTGAAAGTGAGAACATGCGACCCGCCAAGCCCCTTCAAGTAAATCGGTAACAATGGCTGCGCTCGGGAAACACGGCGGTTGCACAACGCAGTGATTCGTCAACGTTATTGGTCTAAGTGTAAGGACCTAACGGTAAAGATTAACAATCACAAGCGCTTTGTTTTCTCAACGTAGCCAATGTTGCTGGCACTTCACCATCTTAAGCATCCGGGGAAAGAATGATTTATATAAACACACGCACATAAATTTGACTCCTGTTAGCCATACGTGATTATACAGGGTGTTTAAAAAACTCAGAATCGTTGATTTGACGTCAATTTGATGTTGAAATGGTCGATGAAACGTTGAATCAACGTTCATTCAACCCTCATCGACGTCGGATCGACGTTGTGGTTCCGGCTAGGAAAAGGGTTCAGAATCTTAAGGACGGATAATATGGTCCACAAAGTGGAGGAGAAAAGTTCTTATGGATCGAAAAATTAATATTAATAATTTGTCGGAGTTGTGAACAATTGTTTACTTTAATTGAGGCAAGTGACTTACTCGCTTCGGGTTTTGCTTACAAAGTTTACAGGGGATTTTCTCTATATCCTTCTCTCGATTCTACATACATTTCATAGAATTGCGAACTCTTTCAAAAATTCTTGGCTTTGACTATTTCAACTATTTGACAGGCATTTTATATTCTCTGGTGTAATTCGTCTAACATTTAAATAGATTCTTCGGTGAAAGATGGGTTGAACAGGGTGTGGACCTCATGGCCCCCTCGCTCTCTTTAAATCCCCTGGACTTCTTCATGGGGATTTCTTAAGAACATGGTATACTCTTCATCGATAAAGACATGGGCGAATTACATCAGAGAATACGAAATGCCTGTCAAATAGTTGGAACAAAGCCGAGAGTTCCTGAAAGAATTCGCAATTATATGGTAGGAAGATATGAAGCGTATGTAGAAGTAAGAAGAGGATACGTCGAGAGTTTTCTGTAGAAGCGAGTAGGTTACTTACTTGCTTCAGTGAAAAATCGATAATTGCTCGTAATCCCGACAATATTAATTTTTTGACCCGAGTTTATCAGGACTGTTTTCCTCCACTTTGTGCGTACTTAAGGTCTTGAACCCATTATATTAAACACTCTGCATATCCACATTGAGAGCAATGTTTCACGACTATCGAATGATTGCTTATATGTTTGATCTTTCCGTTCTCCGACATCTTTCTCCACATATACACGATTACATATGATCGAACACGCGTTCCTAAGAGTCCCTAAGGGACCAGACGTACGTACACGACTCGCGTGTAAAATCATTTTTCCCCGGGGATTCACTGATCTTCAGCGGGAACACCGCCACTCTTCTACTCTTCCGATCTCGACTTTGCAGTGAAAGTAACATTTCACTCAGCCGGTCTCGCTTTATATGCCGCATCCAAGCGGGTTTTGCGCCGATGGATCGACTCCGTCGATCAAAAGCCGAGGTATAGATCTCCGTCGCAAGCCGAGCAAACTGCGACTCAGCCTGCCGCTCGGCGCTCTCCTCAAGTTCTCTCGCACCTAACTTCGTCGCGGACCATCAAATCGTGACACTTGCTTACCCGATGTCGTGTGCCGAGGGGAATCCGTCGGCTAGCACCGATCGCGACAGCATGTTCGCGAGGAATATGAACGCACGGGCGTCGTGGCCGCGCAACGGCGAGGGCATTCGCGACGGCGGCGTCGCGCGCGAGAACAAGACCCGGAGCCCAGGACCTGAATCGGACGCGCAGCTCGCTGTTACTACGATGGAGGAAGAGAGGAATTATCCACCCTGCAGCAGCACAGCTATGACTAACAATGAAGCCGCGGCTAATTAGAAGCTGCGAAGCATCTGTCGTCGATTACCATAACGTGACGTATCGCGCGGGCGGTTGGGCGCGCGGACAAATAACGTCTCGGTGCAGGGGAAAACGGCGCGGCTGCACGTCGCAGAGTGCATTAACACCGAGCGGATAACGGCCCGCCGAGCGGGGCGGCCATTTCGCCGGCCGGCCGGGACGGAAACGGCCCGCGGCTCGCGAATGAGCGGAATGAGCGGCGACTAAGTGATACATTATGCGTATCTCGAGCGGATCCCGCAGGATTAATCCGGGAGCGAAAGCGAGCGAGCGATGTTAGCATTAATATTCGGCAGCCCGAAGAGAAGACGTCGGCCGCTAGGAATGTCGAGTTTCAGAGGAGCGTCGTACGACGCTGATATATATACATGCTTTATTTTCAAAGTGAGAAAAACAGTCGACGCATTGCGCTACACAAGACGGTCGCGCGACCAGCGCGAAAGGATTAGTCGTCGCGCGATTAATCGCCTCGTACACGTCGGCTGTTGATTGTGACGAAGAAAACAGAAAGAGAAAGAAGCACGAAATTATATATGTATGTGTGTGTGTGTGTATATATATTATATATAAATGTGTGTGTGTGTGTGTGTGTGTGCGCCTACGCACACCTGCGCGCTCGAGTTTCACAATGTTGCATCAACGTTATAATTGTCTCTAAGGCCTAGTTCAAATTTAAACCAAGCTTAGCTGAACGGCTGCTACATTTAACATCATTAAACTTGCATGGCGTTCCACATCGTATTTATAACTGTAGTTTATGTAAACCTATAGTCTGTACGAAGAAAGTCCTAAAGATTTCTCCTTCTCAAACATGGATTGTGATTGGTTAATAATAAATGGTCGGAAGTAGGATGGGAGGCAGGACGTAAGGACGAAAACATCACTCGATTCCTATTAACACTACAGTACAGATTCTTTGGATAAACGAAATCGCGCATGAAAATCGACGTTATCGAATTCCTCCACGATGAGCGTTTTCTTACAATTTTCGGGGGTTGGTAATTGAATTTATTCTTCACTTTTTGTATAGGTTATTTGTTTATTATCTTTCGACGCTCGATAGACTGCGATGTTGTACCAATATAACTCTAAAAAGCTGGACGATGGATACCTTGACTTTGAAATTGGTGGCACTGCAGTATTAAACTTTGTTCATTAAACGCCCGAAATTCAGCGTTCAACTTTAACAACAGGAAATAGTCGGTAACCAAAGTTTATGGCAATTGTGGTACTATTTCCTTTAAACTGGATTTAACGAGTTAAACTCCGTTTAAAGTAAATTGTGGAAGCGAACCTAAAGGGACAATTTTTGCTATTATTATAAATTCATGAACGGCTGATATGCTATTTTTGAGTTGCTCCTGCGCGTTCGCGTGTCGGTCGTTTTTGTTATGTACATATATTAGGTGTGTGCAAAAGTTTTAGTCTTTTTCAGTCCTATGATGTAATTATTTTAAATTGAAATATTTTCCCGCCGTTTTGTGATTTTATAAGGTTGGTGTTGAACTTTCCAAACACCACCATTACTATGTCCGTGTTCCAAAATTGCCAGCGCTGAAAATTTATAGTTTGCTTGACACAAATTACATGTTTTCAGTACTGGCAGTGAATTTTGGAACACGGCCTACGATTCGTGGTGCACATAACTTTTCGTATCCCAGCGAGTACAAAAGGACCTTTTTGCTGTGAATATTTGATTTTGTCACTCAGAAGCTTATTCGGGATGCACCCACGAATATCTGCGCTTAGGACCATCATATATAATCCACTTTTCATTGCCAGTAACAAATTTCGATAAAAAGTCTTTCTTGCGCCGTCTGGAAAGCAATGAAACGCATGTACTCAAACGGCGGATGAAGGCCATCACACACAAATGAACGTAAGCAGTAAGACGTAAGCAGTAAAGAAACTTACCAATCACAATCAATTATTCTCGTAAATTTTAAAATGGGCCCTTGAATTTCGATTGTGATTGGTCGATTTGCTTACTTTACGTCTTACTGCTCAAGTTCGTTTGTGTGTGATGGCCTTAATGCTGTTTCGCGACAATTCATGCGGCATCCATTTTCGAAGTTTCTGAATTTTTCCTACTTCATGCAGCCTTGAAGCCGTTGCTTGATCAGCTCCGAGCTGTTTTGCAAGCTCTACTTGCGTTCCGATGGGTTTTTATTCAGCAACGCTTCCAAATTATCGGCTTCGGGCTTTCGCGGCGTTCCAAAGCGCGGACGATTATTCGCGTCAAAATCACCATCTTTAAAACAACGAAATTAATATTTGCATGTATATCGTGGAACACGATATTTTTCCCAAAAACAAAGCGAATGGATTCGCATAACCTAGCAGCATTTTTTCTTGCTGGAATTCATATATCGAATGCAATGTCGAATATAAAATTTTTTCGTTGCTGATTGTATCAACCGTTATTTCTAAGGTTATATGCGTCATTGGATCGTAATGAATGACGCTTTTTCTAGAAAGTTCACTACCAACTTTCCAGAAACGCAAAACAGCGGGAGAATATTCCAATTTAAAATAATTAGAGGGTTGAAAGAAAAGACTGCAACTTTTGCATACACCTGTTATGTATGCGCGTATATGTACATATATAGGAACCACTCTCATTCTATACAAATATATTTCTTAACATGTATCATTAACATACAATATTTACATATATGATTCACACAAATTCACGAGTGAAAGGCACATGTTGAAACCACACGATAGCTCGACAATAAATTCCATTAGCCGGCCTTGCGCCTGGCTCCGATTACGCCGCAACTACGTGATCGTAGGTAGCTCTCTCTCTCTCTCTCTCTCTCCCCCCCTCTCTTTCTCTCGCCCCTGTAAATGTTACGTAAATAAATGCTTCGACGAGTCTTTCGCTCTAAGATACGATGTCAACTAATGCATGCGGCTCGAATGCAATGTAACATGATATGCGACGTTCCAAAGACTCTCCTTTCGATCCCGAACTAGCGCGCTCGCTGGAAACGTAAACGTCCGTAGACCTCCACGCATATCGCACCGTAATTGCGAGAATTCGCCCCTCACACGCTCCTGCACGTTCCCTATAAAAAATATAGCCTCTGCTCGCCGATGTTTCGCAAAGGCGTGATCGTCGACGCTACCGATCGTCTCGCTGCGCACTCCAGCTCTCTCTCTCTCTCTCTCTCTCTCTCTCTCTCTCTTTCATCGCTCCTATTTACATCGTTAATCAATACACTCTGCCGACCACCGTCTGTACAAACTCGATATTTTCATTTCGGGAAGATCCCCACGGATGTGACTCGCGCAATCTCTCGGGTGATGGTCAGGGATCCGGGCCGGACCGGTATCGGAACCGATTTTTATGTTCAAACCGTAAGAATAACCGTACCGAAATTTTATAATATCAAATAGACCGAAACCGATACCGGTCCGATAAAAGTATTTTCGGTTTTCGGTCCTTTTTCGGTTTCTACGACACCCCATGTGTCGCTCCCGTCGATTATTTATTAGAAAATTCACACCGCGATCAACGTACTACAATAGTTACGTTCAGGGCCTCTATTCCGTTACTGTGGTTCCGACAGTTCCGGCATTGCGCAGTTTTTTTATTATATGAACTATAAGGATAAAATAAAAATAGATAATTTCATATTTTGTGATCACAATCTCAGAAAATGAAACAAGCAAAACGACCGCTGGAAACAGATAGCTACAACGTTACCACAAAAATCTCAAAACCATAGGAAGCAATATCAAGTACATCAAATCGAAACCATTAACGGTGGTTAAAATTGATAAAGAATGACGCCGCTTAAATATTTTTGTGAAGAAAATTCGTTTGTATATTACATATCGTAATATTGTAATTTACAGAAAATAAATATTTATATAAAAAATAATTTTGAAAAAAACGCAATCGAAACCGAAAAAACCGTTATTTTTAGTTATTCTAGTTCCCGTTATGCCTATCCGGATCTAAACCAAAATTGAGAACTGTTACGAAATATCATAACTGTAACCGGACCGAAATTTTTTTTCGATCCAGATCCCTGGTGATGATAAGCGAGCCAGACTCAGTGGACCCGAAAATCCAAGTCTCAAGATTCGGAGACTAGAACTTAGCAGGGTAAGTTAGCGTGCAAACTTTACATTCGTACCAAAGTCCACGTTTAGTGGACATAATCTCAATCGCTTCCTTCGGGTATCTCGAACTTTACAGTAGGAAAATTTACACTAGCCGCAAAATAGTTTCCTCCCTGCCCTCCAGATATCTGGAACGAGTATTGTTCTAGTTGGGCAAGCTAGTACAGAGCTTCCTCGCTGTGCGACAAAGTTATCGTCTCTCAGAAAAGTTGCAGTACCGAGATCGAATTTTAGGTCCGTCCTTTCTCGAGGAACTTCCTCAGCTGTTGCATCAAATCAAAGTGAGATAAGCACATCTTGCTCAGATCTTTGCGCCAGTTCAGCAAATTCTTCGAGAACAAAGTAGACTATTCGGCGCAGCATACGAGTCCACTGAGATGCCGAGAGCAACTTTGAGCGATTGGTTTCCATGCGTTCGCACCTGTTCACCCCTTATAGAAAAGTGTTACTGGTTGTAATAGATCGGATAAATGATCGTTGCTCGGCAATTTTATTACTCATACGAGTGCTAAATTGCTAAGCACACGCAGCAACTATTCGGCTGATGTAACTGAATTTCAGTCACTAGAACCGAAATCCTTCTGTTCCTCAGGAATCAACTGAAAATTCGGCAGCACGAGTGAAGTTCCGTTAGGGGGTTTCTGTTATCCCAGAAATATATTCGGTTATTAACCCTTAAAAGCTACACCATCAAATATCACCTTAAGTTCTCTTCTGTAATCTAGAAAATGAGTACTGTCAACACGGCTACGACTTTTAACAAGATCAAAAATTCGCATAAGATGAAATTACATGGTAGCTTCTAAAGGTTAATGTCAAATTTTGTTCCTCACACGGGGGGGGGGTGCTCGCGCGGCTTGGTTGAAAATCGCGTCATTGGTAGCGCGTCGTTCAATTTCTGCAAACGAACCTTTTCGGTCTCGCGATAACTGAGATTTCATTTCTATGTATACAGGGTGTCCCATTTTAAAGTCTCCACTAGAATCTCTTTAGGAAAATACTTAAGGAAAAAATGTTTTGGACAAAAGTTGCTTGGTTTAAAGAGGAACATAAGACAGCGATACCATTTTGTTTACAAATGGCGCCACTTTCGAGGTATTCATTAATCGTCCCTTTTCTTTTTTTAAATGGGAGCCCCAAATTTTTATTACATCATCTTTTTCTACCAATTAATTTGAACGACTTTTGTTCAGAATATTTTTTCTTAAATGGGATATCTCAATGGGAACTTGAAAATGGGTCATCCTGCATATACGATGCAGTTCCACTGGGTGGGATCCGATCGACCATGTTACAATTAGACACAACCAATATTTTTCAAATTTAACCTAAATTAATCCCAACCTAACTAATTTGATTGGCTGTGTCCAATCGTACTGTGTCGAATTGGGATGCCCCCGTTCCACTTCTGCGAAAATAGCCGAATACTCCGCAGCGGTAACTACATTTTCAAGACGGACAATTTTAGTTCCTTCGAAAGCAATGGTTGACGCGAATGGTTCCTCGGCTCGCGAAAACGAATTTTCCGTTATTGCAATCGAGCCTCATGCGGCAGAAGATTCCTAGTTGTCTCACCGCAGAATCTTTTCCTGCGAGTTTTAATTTTAATTTCCTAATAAACTAGCCAGCGGTGAATCATTGTTGCTTACTTTTAATTTTCGCGATAAACTGGCCAGGGAGAAATTCCTGTTCGCTCGGTAATTTCCGTACTCGCAGTGATAAAATTACCGAGCAACGATAATTTGTTGCAGCCAGTGACACTTCGCCGGGTCGGATTCAACGTTGACACTCATGAAAATGTGCGACGTGCGTACTCGATGATATGAGCAAGTACAAGAATATTCGTCGTCAGTGATGCTTCGATACGCGCTCCTGCCGTTCGCACGCGTCCGACACGCGTTACAAGTATTAACCGAAGTCTCCTTCAAGACGGCGCCAGTTGGAAAATAATTTCAAACTGTACGGGACGCGCGCGTGCACATGCTCGTGTGTATGTGTGTATGTGTGTGTACTCGCGTTCAAACGCACGGTTGCTTACGCGATTTGTTATTCACGAGCTAGCTGCCGGGTATACTATGCATAAACATCGACAGAGTCTAAGTCTACGTGTAAACTATGCAAAACATGTGTCATCCGGACGAGTAATTTGCGCGATTTGTTTCCTCGGCACGGCGATGCTGTTGAAAATGACTCCGACGACGCTTTCGTGCGTCCTTGATACCGGTGGTTATTTTATCGTAATTATTATAATTATTATTATTATTATTATAACATCTTGCGTATGCACTCGAAATAAAGGGTGTCCCAAAATTCACGCAAGATTTGAATTTTGCGCCATTTGTGTTGGTAAAGCGTTGCCAACGAAAAAAAAGACAGCGCGACGGCTGACAGTTCAGGGTTTTTAAAATGGTGGAGTGCTCCGAAACACGAAAGAACAACGCGTTTTCATCGTTGAGCAATATTTTAAAAATAATGAAAGTTTGGCAGCTACAGTTCGCAATTTTCGTACATTTAATCGACAAAATTGTCGCATTTGGGGTTCAGAAAATTCACGAGTTATTGTTGAGAAACAAATGCATCCACAATGTGCCACACTGTTTGGTGCGGATTTTGGACTGGAGGCATCATCGGATCATTTTTCTTCGAAAATGCGGCTGGTCAGGCAATAACAGTTAATGGTGCTCGCTATCGCGACATGATAAACCAGTTTTTTGTGCTTAAATTGCAAGATATGGATGTGGACGACATGTGGTTTCAAGACGGTGCCACATGCCATACAGCCCGAGAAACAATTCAATTACTGCATGAGTCATTTCCTGGTCGTGTAATTTCCCGTTTTGGCGATGAGATTTGGCCGCCCAGATCATGCGATTTAACGCCATTGGACTTTTTTCTTTGGGGTTTTTTGAAGTCTAAGGTTTATGCCAACAAGCCTACGACCACCCACGCCTTGAAGGAGGAAATTGAGCGCTGTATCAACGAAATTCAGCCACATTTATGCAAAACGGTCATGGAAAATTTCAACAAAAGAGTGCATATGTGCCAGCAAAGCCGTGGAGGCCATTTACCCGATATGCTATTCCCATTACGTAACCCCATACTGTATACTTTATGAATCAATAAAAAATTTACAATTTTTAATTATAAACCTGTGTTTTCTATCAAAATTACTTCTTGTGTGAATTTTGGGACACCCTTTATTTACTCGTGCCAATGATAAAGCACGACAAGAGCCGAAGAACGATTTCTCGCGCGCGTTCGTATGTGTGTGTCTTTCGTCCTCTTTTTTCGTTCTCCCTTTTTACGCAGAGTTTACGCAGTTTATCGTCTGTGCGAGGCGGAGACCGCGTGAATCCTAAATAAAAATTGGACTTAATCGATACACCTTCTCCTTGTTAGCGCATACGGCTTAGCTCTGTGCGACAAGGACTAAAAGTAATTTACGTTACTTGCGGGCTATAATACGTAGTTACATTGTAGTTGCATTTCGTCCGAGTTGTCGCGACGCTTGATGATGGCGTGGAGTCGAAGAGATCCCGCGATTAGACCGTGTCGGTGTTTGGAAGTGAGCGACAGAATCGGATTCCCGCGGGAATGCACGAGGGAGTCCCGAACGCAGCCTGGATGCGCATTGCTGTCTCTCGGCCTGATCAATTTAAAGCCGTAATCACACCAGCGATTGCCGATTGGATTACGATTAAAATAGAGCATCTAAATGGCAATCTCAATCGGTGCCTATTTTGACGTAATTGGTTGAAAAGTAATCGCCAATCATCAATCGCAATTGCAATCCAATTGGCAATCGCTAGTGTGATTACTGCTTAACACAGCCTCGTGTAGCTTCGCTATCGAGTGGATCGCTGCGACGGTCAAGAGCTCGAAGGAACTGCGCACGTCTCCGACGCGTCTTGATTCCTCCGCAATAAGACGCTCCGTCGACCCGTCCGAGGGCACGTTACACGCGAGAGAGAGCGACGACTATTCTAAACCGCTGTAGGTTCGTGCCAGAAAAAGAAGCAACAGTCGGGCAACGCTTCGCTCACACAGCCGTCTCCATCGGCCGACCAAGTCGACTCCAAGCGCAATGCGGTGAACGCAAAAGTCCGAATCGAGCAGTATGCAGGGTGAGACTACCTGAACAACTTCGAAAAATGCAATATAGAAAAAAAATGTTAACACTTTGACGTCCGCATGTGCGACCAAGATTCTTTTGTCTGGCGCCAGTAGATCTCGTGTATAGATCCTACACTTGGAAAAATGTATTGTTGCATGAATCAAAATTTTGTTGTAACAACAAAATAATTTGGTTAAAATATGCTCAACAAAACTGTTTAGTTCCTGTAAACAAATATCTTATTTGATTACGGCTTGTTCGTATAACGTAATACGTTTGTTATAGCAACCAAAAAGCTTTAACTATATGAATTTTGTTAAAAATACTATAATTTTTTCTTAATATATAATATATATATTTTATATATATTTTATAATATATATTTTAATGCACAGAAAGACAAAATAATATCCGTTGGGCATTATTTTAGTTTATGTAAAATAATATTTCATTATGTAATTTTTATGGATAAAATAATTAAAATGCTTAATTTTTATATATGAAGTCTAAGAACAAAATCATTTGGTCCAGAGAACAAAGCAGAAAAATATATTTAGTTGAGACAACTAAAAATTTTGTTATATAAAACAAAATATTTGGTCGCTATTAAAAAATGCCTCAACTGAGCAGTTTTGTTAGAGATACTAAATTTTTTTTCCTAGTGTACCGCCTGTCGCCGGCGCTTTTCAAGAAATCGTTAAACGTGTCTTGTTTTATTAAACTCAATATCAATATCTCGGCATTTGTTCGATAACTTTGCACGCCTAGACACCAACGTGGTATCACCGGACGGCAAAGTGTTAATACAGAAGAGTTTTAAATGAAAATTGAAGAGTCTTAAGTGATACTTTAGTATGACCTTCAACAGCGTCGTCAAGGTTACAGGAAGGACAATTTGAATTTTTTGAATGGAAATCCCCTTTTCTTTTCCCATCAATTACTTTAAACAATTCTTGTCTTGTTAAATAAATGAGTCCGTTCATGGCTGGCACCCATAAAGTATTTCAGTGCGTACTGACTTATGTCAAATCGTTCACTCTCATGCCGATCTATACCGGCTATCCGATCTATACCGATCTAAGTCTGGCTAGGGGACCGACTTAAGGAAATAAATAAAATAATTACAATATGCTTACAGCTCTAGCAATCGACCTCGGATACAAAACAGGACATAAGTCTTATTAAAAGAGGAAGAAGAAGAACTCTTGTCTGAAACATTTTTTTATTTGCCTAATATTTTTTTTAGATATTTAAGGAAAATTTAGTAACTTTTTCAGTATTTGGCTGAGCATATGATAATGTTGAAATTTCCAAAGATCATCAAGTTAAATTGCACTATTGCAACAGCATATTCTTGAGATCAAATAGAGTAAAAAATTCTAGTACCACTTTTTCTTCTGACAAATAGTCACCGAGATACCGTAAGCCAAATACTGAAAAAGTTACCAAGTTTTCCTTAAATATCTAAAAAAATATTAAATGAATAAAAAAAATGTTTCAGACAAAAGTTGTTCACATTAATTGCTGGGAAGAGATGATACAATGGCCGTTATCACCTAAAAACTTCAAAGAAACCTTCCCGTAACGTTGATAACGCTGTTCAAGGCCATACTAGTATTGCCACGTGATGCGCCATTAAAAAAAAATCCTACAATCTCTGTATTTAACATTCTTTTCTATCTTGTATATTTTCACAGTTACTCATGTGGCCTGTTTCAGATGTTTCGCCTTGCATATCTCTTGATTATGCTTTTTATATCACGTTCGATGACCTTTGCGACGCGCTCGCCATGTCTGCCCAGAGCCGGCTCGATCACCCGCGATCGCCCGCAGCGACGCGTTAATTAGCAGACAGATTGTCGAGGGAATACATGTAATCGTTCCTCCGTATTTCCAGCGAGAACAAGTGCATCTCTTCGCTCTACTTCTTCTCTCTTCCCTTGCTCCTCGAGATATCGATGATGACAGAGATGGATCATACCTACGCGCTCGCGGTTGAAATCAGAGATATGGCGGCGACGCATAGATCACCCTTCACTAACGCTACATGACGCGGACGACGCGGCGGACGCCGTCCTGTCGCCTCGGCCTCGTTTACTCTACGGGATAAGTACAAACGTTAGAGATGAACAGATGAAATCCGGTATTCTACAAAAGGCTTCGCAAATGTAGAACCTCGCAAGATAAAGCACGGGTGTCGCGCGTAGCTCGTGCCGCGGCACGCATTCGAAAAATTCGAAACTAGTCTTTTGTTCTCGATCACAGCCACTGAACAGCAACAGAAACACTTGCAGCGCATTATTTTTTTTTTCTCCTCTTTTCTCCTTTTTCCACAAGCTCTCGCACACTCTCTACCGTAATCTCGCTCCTTCGTCGCCTCCCGCGGCCGCCCGCCACGGCCGGCTCGATTCGCTCGGTCTCGTAGTCGCCCGTTACAGATACCTCGTAATACAGATGCGTGGGAAACAATGCAGCAGCGCGCGGCCGATCGCGCACGGGTAATTATCGCGTGTTAGACAAGTCGCTCTAGCGGAGAGAAATATCTGTGCGGAACCACATCGGAGTGTTAGTGTGAAACAGCGCCGGCACGACAGCCGCGCGTCGGCGGCTGACATCTCGCTATCTTATCCTATCCCGTCTCGGGCAGGGAGCGGTTAATTCACACAAAACAGGGCAAACAGTACTTGGGAGACTCTGCGAGGTCGCAGGACCAACCGGGAAACCAACACGCATCGGCGAGCAATTTTCTACGCGGACGCGCATAACACTGTTCAACGTGTTCGGTCAGCTTCACGTCGCCGACGACTCATCGCACGTGATGCCGCACGAGTATCTTGCTCTAAAGGCATCAGACGACGCGAACGGCAAGGCTTACGACGTTGATGCGGCACGTGTTAATGATACGGCATACGGGAGATCATACCGATGAACAAAGAACAAAGAACAAAGAGTCACGGTGACACGGTGGCCTTCGTTGCGAAACAAGAGCTCGCTCAAGGTAGCTTCCTCCGTCCTTCCGTGTCCGCAATCGCTCCGCCGTACTGTTTGCCCTATTATAGACCGCCGCGTTTCGCGATTAAAATTCCTCCTCCTTATCGTCGATATATTGCAGTTTTTTTTTCTTTTTTTTTTCCACCAGCGATCGCTACCTCCTCTCCTTCGCTCTCTTCGCACGCGTCCTCTCATATACACTCGATACCTCAGGGTGCCGTTTCTTCTCGACTCCGAATAATAAAATTCACTCTCGTGTTAAAATATCTCGTCAAATTTGCATCGGGAAGTAAAGCGCTGCGCTTTACGTACCATACTTTCTAATATCACCGTGGTAAGAAATTAACCTATTGTTAAAATAACTTTTTTCTTCTATATGTACACGTATGTACGTATGTACAACATGGGCGCGTGCGTGTGTACGTGTGTGTTAAGAATCGTGCAACACACATGTCGACAGATTAGTCCTCCTCTCCTTCGTCGCGTACTCCGTTCTTTTATTATCCGTACTTTAATATATGTTCGTTGTACTGAATCAGATTAATTTCTTACCTGAAAGCTTTTCAATTTTCTACCTGACGAGTACGGATTGTACCGAACGTTGCAAGGAACTTATCGCAAAGTGGTTCGAAATTGTATACACGACTAAACAGAACTGGCAAAGAAGCTATCGGGCTTCGTGTTTCTCGGTGTGAAAAATCCATTGCGAAAGTGAAAGAAACAGCGGCAGATAATAATAGCAATAATAATAATAAAAAAAATAAGACAGATCGCACTTATTCCTAAACTTTCCAAATGAATGTAAAAGAAACACTCATCTAACGCTTGCTTACGACGTCCCTCCTTCTCGTATAAATCGGACAGACAGCTGCTGTTTTCTTTCCTGCATAATCAAAACGCCACCTAAACGCCATCGTTATCTCGAATTATTGTACTGTGCATTCCTACTCATGGTATTTACAAAAATATGCGTTACATAAGTACTAGGAAGTACCTATATCGTCGTGTAGCGGCACTTAATCTTCTTAGCATTTCTTTGCACATCAATCGCAATTACGCTGGACTATATACGAGATGCTCACCCGATTCGAGGGAAGAGTTTCCGAGCGAAACTTTTTCTTCGTATTATCGCAAGCGGTTTTTGAAACTGCTTACAAATCGTTGCGACACGCATCCCGTATACTCGCACGAGATTTATGTATTCGTTTAATACTAATTGCATATATCTTCCGTATTGTTTACTTAATCGGGCTTGTAGATCGGTATCTTTGGAATAAATTCAATTAAAAGAACCTGCAAGAAGAAGATGCATTCGACATTACTGAGTTTAAACACAATTATATAACTTTACATATATATCCAGTAGAGATATATCCAAGGTTATATTAATTTAATAAATCCTTACATATTCCATCATGGAGGAGCTGTCACATCTTTGCTTCGCCAATCTCCAATGTAACCCGAGTTTATGATAGAGCCTACTGTTTTCCCATTCTAATAATTTGTTTAGTGAATGCTGAGTCTACAGAAACAAATAACACATCAACAATTATATACCAAACAATGTTTCACAAGCACTATATAGCAGTGTCTTCTAACCTCCAATTTGTAGAAAATAAACGAGTTTATATGTTATTTAATTCTAAAGAAATCTGTTTTAAAATTAGAAGGATAAAAGTAGCTCCAGACTTGGCCCGGATATTTTTCTTAATCTCTTGCATGTTGTTTACCAGTAAAAGAAGAAGATAGAGAACCACTGCTATATATATATATATATATATATATAAAGTACAGCAATAGATTTTCTGTCAAATATTTATATGCATTAATCTTACCCTCTTGCTCAAACAAATGACAGGCCACAGAGAACATCCTAGAGTACAGCAGCAGCATACGCAACCACAGAACAACCACTTAACATTAACAGGCAGAGTCTTTTTCAACACACTGTTTATTCTCATAACAGTCGCTTTGAATTCTTCTGGAGCTACACGGGACACGAGGCCATTGGGAAATTCCGACTCGAAACGATTGCTGAGACCGAATCTAAGGCAAAAATTTCACAGATTAATAATACTCTCATGTGTACTGATCAAGTTCAACGTTCTCACACTGTTACTAGACAAACCCAGACTCGCGAGTACAAATCTGTCGGAATCTTTGTATAAAAATATCTGAGATTGTTCACCTCCATTCGCGTTTAATGTGATCAAAATATAGGTCATACACCGATACACACGCAGCGTAAATTTACAAACACACACACACACACACACGACGTTTGTCTTCTTCCGATCCATCAAATTAAAATACTCGTTCAGATTCAAGGTAGGCGAGAAGCGACGACACGCATCTCCAATTGCCGAGGAAAAAAATCAAGGAAAAATACATCCTCGCGCAACCGCCCGCGTTAACGCATCCTCGACGACGAGGAAACCGCCGTGCCAAAGCAGCAACGATATCATCAACAACAACGACAACAACAATAACAACAACACGTCACGTAGTCTCAGAAGCAAAAAGCCTGCCGGAGGCCTTTGTCTGCTCGCTGACGCCAGGGATCGTCCAATCGCGGAGCGACGAGCGCGTCAGCCACAACAAAGGAGCGAGAGCAGGCTAACTTACACCGTCATATTGCCAGCCCCGCGGATGACGATCGGGTCCGGCACCATAGTGACGTAGTGCTCCTCCAGGTTCTGCTCGTTCTCCTCTTCCTCCTCGTAGATCGCGTCGAAGTCGGCCATCGCGCGGCACGCTGCTAGGACCACCTCGGCGCCGCCGGCGCTCCTCGCGCCTCTGGATGCGTGTTCACCGCGTAGCAACGCTACGTCGTGCTCGCAGCGCGTCCTCCCTCTGTCGTCTCCAGCCAGGGCGACGACGCGCTACGCTGTCGCGCGCGCGCGCGCGCGTTCACATCCCCGCAACGGGCTTCCGGCTGCTCGCGGTCGTCGTACCGTCGCTAAGACTCTCGCCGACCGCCACGGTCATCTCCGGGGCCACGCTAGGCCAGCTGTTAGGCTGCCGCTCGACGACCACGGGAGCAGGAGAATCGCGCTGCCGTGCCGTCGGTACGCCAGCGCGCGCGCGCGCGCGCGTACGCACGTATGTCGCTCCGTTCACCGTCGCTTTCGTCTTCGCCGCGCAGCGACACACAAAACACCGAGCCTGCACGACGCGCACTGCGGATGTGCGACGCGCGGCGCGACGCGAACTGCGCTTGCTTTCTCTCTCTCTTTCTCTCTCTCTCTCTCTCTCTTTCTCGCTCTCGCTCAGCTCATCAATTTTTTCCTGGCTGCGACCAGGCCTGCCAATGTCGCGCATGCGCGCGCACGCGCACTCGCCGTTGTCAGCCCTGCCGCGGGCTCGTTCAAACGCGCGCGCGCGCGCGCGCGAACCGGGCTCGGTCGTCGCGATAGTCGTTACTGTTCTGCGTAATGAAAATAGAATAGGCGTGTATGAAGCTGATGGATCGTTCCTGCAAATTTTCTTCAACTGTCTCGTACGCTGGATGCGCGCCATGAACTCTCCGCTTGGACATTGTTCGTGGAATTGGCTGCCTCGGCGTCGGCATGCGGGACTTGGGTCCGCGAGCTGGATGAAAGAAAATTTTCCTCTGAGACGCGTAAGATGAGTTTTCTCCAATTGGCGGGAAAGAAGGCGGGTTAGATCATTGTGTTACGCTGCGCTCATTTAGTTTCGCTGTCGTAATAGTGACGCCAGTAGTGCGCGAAAATAGATATGAAATCGGCCGAGCTGGCCCAGCGGCGGAGTGGCAATGGATATTTTCGATACGACTGAATTTCAAGATAGTCTCGCGCGAATTTACGTTTCCTCTCTCGCGGAGGAGGAAGTTTACGTAAAATAATATTATTTAAGTCTCGAAATTATTATATAAAATTTATATTCTCTATACGGAAAAAGAACTCTTGCCTTAATATGAATATTCTTGATTAGGCCTCCTGGTTCTTGGCCGCGAGATCTCGACTGATGACGTCAGAAGCGAAGAAACCTGTATTAAAAATTCCTGCGGATTGTGCGCAGAGAAAAAGATATATCCGTAAAATCGGGGACGAAAGGCAGTTTCTCAGGGATAAATATTTTATTAACATAATCCTCAGCTCGACGCTTGTAGCAAAAATACAATATGCGAGTGACTTTTGTACACATACTGCATTCTTCAAGTAAACGTTACTTGTTTCCAGTATTTTTTTAGATTTATATATTCGCAATACTGTCACACACAAGTTCGTTATAAATATCAAATTTACTTAAAATGTATTCTGAATCCCCGTAAGTTTAGTAGTATTTTGATGCTCTCCTCACAGTAGCCATCTTATTGACCGATGACGTTAGAAACGAGGAAATCCACACTGGAAATTTCATACGGATCACGTTGAAACAAATTAAGGATATGACCGAGCATGTTTCTAAAATGTTCCGAAAGTTTCTCTTCTGTCGAATCGAAGCGAAATAGGCGAAAAATCGACGTGACAGAATCATGAAGAAAACTAGGTTAAAAGGAAAGGTTGCATGTCATACTAATTTTACGCTCATTTATGATTGATAGAAAACAAGGAAATGTTTTCGGAGTATTTTCGAAATGTACTCAGCAAGCGTCATTTTACGGATATATCTTTTTCTCTGCACAATCCGCAGGAATTTTTAATACAAGTTTCTTCGCTTCTGACGTCATCAGTCGAGATTTCGCGACCAAGAACCAGGAGGCCTAATTAAGAATATTCATATTAAGGCAAGAGTTCTTTTTCTGTATAGAGAATATAAATTTTATATAATAATTTCGAGACTTAAATAATATTATTTTATATATAACCGTGATATATATAAGGTATCCGGAATTTTTTTGGAAAAATTGTGAAGATTAATCAGATCAAACTGAGAAAAAAAGTCAAGTACTATTTTGCAAAAATCGCAATAGTTACTAAATTATTAATGATTGAAAATTATCACATTTGGAGGCTCTTTTAACTGATAATTTGAACATTTAGGTACTCATTTGCAAAATGGTAAAGGACCTCATTGTTCAGAATGACCTAATCTACAATTATATTGGCTATTGTATTTAGCAGGAGGTTCAAGATTCAGGGTTCAAAGTTCAATATAGTCACAATGTATATATAGGGTGTCCGAGGTCTTTTGGAAACGAAAAATTGTGAAGATTAATCAGAACTGAGAAGAAAAGTCAAGTACCAAATACAAATTTTGCAAAAATCACAATAGTTGTTAAATTATTAATAATTGAAAATGACCACATCTAAAGACTCCTTTAATTGATAACTTGAAAATTTGCGTACTTATTGTAAAATAATAAAGGACTTTTTCGTTCAAAATGACCTAATCCACCATACCTAATCTACCTGCAATTACATGACGACTATTGTGTTTAGCGATAGATATGAGTACATTGAACTTTGAACCCTGAATCTTGAACCTGTCACCATTATATATATAATTAAATTAAATATATAATCTTATAATTAATTATATATATATAATTAAATATACAATCTAATTTAATATCCAATCTAATATATGTAATATAAAATATATATAATAAAATCTTCTTCAGAGAGAGAGAGAGAGAGAGAGAGAGAGAGAGGGGGGGGGAGAGAGAGAGAGAGAGAGAGATAAAGCGTTTCCCTAAAATTCGTGTGACTATGACGGAGAAGACATTCTTCATTGGAGATACGCATGACTCAGAAAGAGGTGAGTAAACTGAGTAATCGCGGAATGACATTTCTGTCGGTGCGGCGTACTCGAGATCCTTCCAGCGTCTACCCAGCGCGCTTAATCAGCAATCCGACATTGATTCACGCGATTACGCGAGTCCATCTACCGCGAGTCGCAACGAGCGGCGCACTCGTGCGCGCAGGAGTGGCCGAGTCATAACCCGGCTTTAGGCGCATTTCAATCAGAGTGCAACGGCCGCTCAACGGCTGGAAACCGCGGAACAGTCCGCGGCGTAATGGAATGATTGCTAATCAATTCGATGCGACGGCCGGGATTAATAAAAACGCCGACGCGTTTGTTCGTTCGGTCGTCGCGGCTCAGCTCGCCGCGCGTTTCGCAAAGCCGAGAGCCAAGCACCACCCGCGCTACCACGTGACACAATATGCAACACGCAATAAACTGCCTCTCTTGTATTCCTCGGAGCGCGGCGGCAAGAAACGCTCGACTGGCTTCGTCATTGTCGTCGTCATCGTTTGTATTCGACTCCTACTGCGACTGCAAACCCTGGCGAACACGTCGGCATAGACGACCGAGTCAAGAGCATCCGTGAAATTGCATCCTAAGAACCTAACCTAAAGAACCTGCTGAAACCTAACGAAACAACTGAATTCGGCTTCATGAAATCGTGGCTTCACGAAAGACCCTGCGATGAAATGAAGAAATCGTATTTTTCGAACAGCAGGCAGATTTGAGACGCCATTTGCGCTAAGCGCGACTTCAGCCTGTGACGTCGAAATTTTGTTTCGGAAAATGCCCGAAGCGTGTGTCCACTTAGCGAGCGATAGACAGCAGTAATGTTCAGCGCTATCGCGCGCGTCGACTTCGTACGGCATTTCGCGGCATCGCGTCTAAAAATAGGAAGAAGCGTCCGGCAGATCCGCGATTTTCAGCGCGGCCCGCCGATCTTCAGCGATCACGCGGAAGCCGCGGCTAGCGTCGTGCTAGCCAGGAAGTAATAACGACGATCGATTATTTTTACGGGCCGGCTCCAGCCGGCGGGCGCAGAAGGCGTCCCAGGGCTAGGCCGCGGGAGGCTGCGTAGCTTTTTTTCCAGCCATCGTCGCCGTCGTGCGAACAATTTCTCCAGGCTGTGCCTGACTGACTAAATCATAAATAGCAGTGAGGCGCGTTAATTTGCCCTAGTCGGCCATGGATTATCGCAGTGCGAGGGCTCTCGCGTTTTTCCTCATCGCCGCGGCATCGTGCGACATGAATAAATTCACGTACAAGCATGAGCCGCCCTGCTCGAGCAGTGAGTATGAGGTCTTCCGATAATTGGCGAGTCCGCCTGTGTGATAAGTGATATCTTCGTTGGTCGTCGGTCACGCACGAAGACGCGGTCTGCGATGGGCCATTCGTTTAAATTGACGCACACACGGATACGCACGGGGAAATACATGTTGCGGATTTTTTCTCGAGTAAATGTTATATTCATCTCGAGCGCTTTGTAGATTGGTACGCCTGCGGGTTTATCGTTTGGGTTCAACGGAAGCATGAAATTTGCTTCGGATCATTCATTCGGAATGCTGAGTTTAGTACTCTTCGGCCAAGAATATTGAATTGGAAGTCAGTTTGCTTTTTCTAGAGAATAAGTTTCCTGATATAATATTCCTGAGAAGAGAGGAACTTTTTTTTTTCTTTTGAGTACATCACAATGAGATTCTTTAAAATTTGTGTGAAAACTGGTATAAAGTTGAAGACAGCTGTTACTTAAAACAAGGAAAATGAATTGAGTAATCGGTCTTCTTTAACACACATAGAATAGAAGATGATATTCTTCTTTATGTATAATAATGTAGAAATATAAAATAAAATGAAATCGAAGACTTCAATTATCATCACGGCGTGGTTTTCATCTTCCAACCACAAATTTAGTACTTTACTCAATATCACATATATTGCTTCTTGTAGAGAATAAGTTTTACAATATAATATTCTTGAAATGAGAAGAAATGCTTGTTCTGAATACATGAGCTTGTTATATCAAAAAGATATCTTTTGTTGAAAAAGATAATCACCCGTAAAAGGGGGAAACTGTAAAGGAATATATCTCGTTCTTTCATCATACATAGAGTAGGTGATGACATATTTCTCTGCACAACATAGAAATATAAAATAAAATAAATAAAATAATATAAAATCGAAGGCTTCGATCATCATCACATGATTAAGTTTTTTTTTTTTTATACGATACCATTAGCAATTTTTACCGCACTTCTGGCCCCACGTGGGTTTCTTCTTCTCGTCCTTTCACCCACATACATTTTTCGTGGACGAGTCCACTGTTTTCCTGTACGAATATTATTTTTATCGGCGCAAAGCCAGATACACACGAGAGGATAGCGGGCGGAAGTTACGCGAACGAAGGTCAATTTCCGTTTATGGCCGTCGTGCATCGACTGATCGACGGCAGAAGAGTGGCACAATGCGCCGGCACCATTATATCGGAAAGATGGGTTCTCACCGCGGGCCATTGCGTCGCGAAGCGACCGAGACGGTTCTTCGTGGTATTCGGGATCGTTGACAAGAGCGGGATTGGTTACGACGTCAATAGGGGGCCCGGAGTTGCGATGATGACGACGTGGGCCGTGGTGCACCCCAAGTACTTCTTCAGCAAGAACGACATCGGATTGCTGCATATGCCGCGGGATATAGAATTTTCAGGTAAAGAGATTTCGCCAATTCAACCGGAAATCGCTCGAGACATGCGTCGAAATCAAAATGGTCGGCAGGCGGAGACCCGAAATCGAACTCTGTAGATTATTATCAGGCCTCCAGTTTAGGAATGACCGCTGAGGACAAAACGACCAAGGCTTTTCCCCACGAAGGCGTTTCATTTCAGACAAAATTCAACCGATACGCTTGGCCGGTCCCAAGGAGAACCGAATCTCGGCCGACACGACTGCTTACGTGGTCGGCTGGGGTCGCGACGGTTTCAGTCGCACAGGTGTCAAGAAGCTCAAGTACACCTTGATGCCGTTGATCTCGAAACGCAAGTGCACCGAGTATTGGCGGGTGGACCACAGAAATATCTGCACGATGCCAGGACTCGGGAAGAACGCCTGTCAGGTACAACACGCATGTGGTGCAAACTCGCGCTAGTTGGCTTAAGGCCATTGTACGTAGAAGAATTTTAAAGTCACAGTTGATTATTTCTTTAGCGCAAAGAGAATAATCGACTCTGTTCGATCGATTAGTTTACTTATGATCTTACGGTTACGGACTTTTTGCGCGCAAAGGCCTTTAAGGTTAGGTTTGTCAGACGCTGCCCTATGGGAAGGTTTGTCCTTCCTAGTCAAAATTATAGATATGGCGAATCTAACTAAGGCAGGGTAAAAAATCAGCTAATTCCACAAATTTTAATCATTAGTTTGTCAACTGATCAATCTTCCATTTCCCGCGCTTCGGTGCTCTCATATTACAAGAGCATTAAAGCTCGATCAGACTATCTATTCTTAAATGGAATTTCGATAAATTTATCAAGGTCTATTTATGGACGATGAAGGATACTCGACGAGTGGATATTTCAAATAAATTCACTCGTTGCATTTCGATGTACCTTAGGGCGACAGCGGAGGACCCCTGTTTATGATGAAGAACAATCAGCCGCTGCAAATTGGCATCGTGAGCTACGGAGACGCATATTGTCCGAGTTATAAACCCGGAGTATACACTAGAGTGGCGGCGTTCGCGGGATGGATCGAAAGAGTTACTGGAGTGCAACTATAGAGGGATTTGTTAATAAAAAAGTACTGCAATGCGAGGAGATACCGTGTACCCCTGCAACACTTGATTGCGAGCGCATCTCGCGCCTAATCATTTTTCAGCGTTCGCAATTACTTTTAATTGGGACTTCTCCTTCTCTTCCCGCTCTTGTTCTTGTCGAAGTTGCACGCGAAATGCCGTCTTCTATGCGATAAGAACTTTTACTCAGCACCGTAGAACGCGTGTATTCTGTTTAGTTAATAATTGACGCGGATAATAATTACAAGTGACTCTCTTTCACTTCGATTTATTATCCGCGCGTCAAGTGACTTACTAACAAAAAAATTTGTTTGTCTTTTTCCTTCTTACAAATAAGAGAAGTTTGTTAGAATTAACGAACGTCTGCTCCGGGCTTGTCGCTGAATCTATTTAAAAATACTATTTAAAAATGAGAGACTCTCTTCAACCATCAGGCCTTCAAAACTTTCAGACTCTCTTTTGCCGTTGAGTAACACCGTCTGAAAATTGAGAAGTTTTTCAATCTGCCGTCGTTACTCTCAAAATATTGAATGTTTGAAGGGTATAGAAAAGTTACACCTCGAAGTTCAATTTTAAAACTTGACGTATTAAACGTCGGGACACTTTTGACGAGAACTGCTATTAGAAGATAACATTTGTATCGTAATTAGTAAAAGAATATACAATTTCCTTGAAAATAGTACTAAAATCTGGTTAACCTGCAAACATTTGCATTGATGCTGAGAATAAATCGATCTTTTTCTGATTAATTCTTATTTTGAGGATTAGCGTGAACACGGGTGACTTGATCAACAGCACTGAAAAGTAATCAATGTGTTTTATATAAATTTCTTCAGAGGGCGAGTCAAGCAAAGCGTTCTAAGAAACTCTCATGGTATGATCGTTCTTTCCGAAGTCGTTTAGCCAAGACTCAAACCTTCGTTAACCAGGATTAAACTTTATTTCGCTGAGAGATACCAACCAGTTAGAATGAATTTAGCGACCATCTCCTCTAGATGGCTCTAAATAGGTCTTTCAGCTGCATTTCGGGGAGTCCGTATTTATCTTGCGACACTACTAAATGGCGCCTGACTATTTGTCAATCACATTTAAGCGTTTTTGACATCTTATCACTTGAGATCAAAGAACCATATCTTTAAAGTAGATTTGTTTTCTTGCGAAGAAACTGCAACTTAAAAATTTTGTTTATAAATTATATCATATCTTATCTTAATATTAATCTATACTTGAAAATATATTAAAACTGCTCAACAACCAACTAGTTTCCCCAATTCGAAATTTTGTCTCATTTTGTAACCTATTTGTAAAAATTTCAAATGTAATGTACATTATCAGTTTGTATTTCACACATCAAAAGTTTGAAATTGTGATTTGGTGTTGTAGCTTAAACTACAAACTGCAATTTTACCAGATCTCACATTTCATCAGATAAAAAATAGTCCTTTGGTATAGCGACTTTGGTTTTAGTCATAAGGTTAGCAGGCCTTAAACTAATTTAAATATGTTCCGTAATTGATCAGCTGATCATGCTTGGACGTTCACAGCTATGTACTGTTCCATATTTACAAACTTGGTTTTAACTATTAATTTTGTAATATTAGATAAAAAATGTAGAGATTCTTTGTCACTTATTACTTTTATAATTGATCAGCTGATCAATTACGGAACGTGCTTAAGTTAATTAGTTTAAGACCTACAAACTTTATAACTAAAACCAAAGTTTTCGGGGGAGGCCTCCGATAGACAATTTCAAATTTTGGACCGGTGATACAGAGCGATACGACGTGATGTAACATTGAAAGTGATAATCCCTGTTTCCAGTTGGCGCTCATGAATAATTGGGCGATAAAGCAGCACGATATTCTGGCGATTTCGACGGACGATTCGCTTCCCTCGGACTTCCCCCTTCCCCCTCTCGATGCGGATCGCCGCATTATTCGGCACAGCGTGTTGCGCGCGGCGTGCATATGATGCTTTAAGCGTAACCACACGCTCCTTTCGACGCGTACGTAGTAATCACGGGCGTTCAGTATATTTAAAATGTGATTAAAGTGGTTACGGAGAAAGAGAGAGAGAGAAAGAGCAAGAGAGAGAGAGAGAGAGAGAGAGAGAGAGAGAGAGAGAGAGAGAGAGAGAGAGAGAGAGAGAGCGAGAGAGAGCGAGAGATGAGAGTCGGCGCGATTGTGGCGCTGATAAAAGTCGCGGGGAAACAGAGGCGAGGAAAGGTGATGAGGTACGATTTATAATTGTCCAGCGTAAATGCAGAACGAAGTTGCGCCGGTGTGTCTCGGACAGAGCTATTACCGCGAAGCCGTAGCCGCTATGGAGGTCTCTCTTCTTGCGGGTTTAACCGCCCGGGCGCTGCTCGGCGACGATACGGCGAGATTGCGGCTTCCTGAAGGCGGCAGCGCTGCAACGCGAGAAAACGCCGAGGGATTACACTCTCAGATATTCACCAGAGACCGCGAGAAAGATTTCTACCTGTGGATGACGATTCGTCTCATACTCGACATAAAGGTCACGTCTGAAAGATACTCAACCCTGTTCCATCCAGTAGAATCGTACATACCGGGTAAGAGTCATATACCGGGTATCGCGAAACGAATGAATTAATATAGTAATCTCAATAGATCGATTATGTAGCTGCATACAGGAATGTTTAATAAGCATGCTTTTATATGTATACAGTTTGGAATTATCTATTAAATTTTTATAACAACGAGTTTTTGAGCTCAAGATGAGCTCGCTTTCGACTCGAAAACTCAAAACTACGCTATTTGGATAATTCGATAATCCAGGTTCTAACTCGAATCAGAATCCGGATTCGAATAAAGTAAAAAATTAATTAGGTAGCAAAATTGTTCAAAGTAATTGTTAGCAAAATAAGCACAATTGTCTCGGATCGAGAGAATTATGAACTGCATTCGAGAGAATCGTTGAATTGCAATTGAAAAGTTTGCAATTGCAATTTTCGAAAAGGACTCAGTCTATTGCGAACGAGTTTGGTCGATTTCGGACTTGAATCTGGATTCGGATTTGGCTTCAGCCCTTCAACTATTCTCCGGATCATCCGAATGTAAAGCGTCACATCTATTTGGTATCCGAGAAATGGTATATTCGGATACTGTCAAATCTGATTACTGAAACATTATAGTCCTGATACGCACATGATAAATTCAGCAAGAGAACAATTGTCGCGTGTGAGATCCGAAGATCTCGCTTCGTTTCGATTTTCTCACCCGGTGGTGATTTTCTCCTCACCCGGTGGTGATCTGTGCCTTAAACTCTGATTCGAGTTTGGAGAATCGAGTACGCAGAAGTCGCGTGAACGCAGCGAAATGCGCATTGCGGATCACGCACACTTATTATCAAGATCATAATTGGAATGTTGCCCCACTCATTAACATATTCCGGATTCCCTTAACTCGCCGTGTAATTTGCGATAATTCTGGACTAGCGCGCTGTAACGCAAGAGGGAGGAGGAGGGATAGGGATGTTCTTCCTTCTTAAACAAAGGCTGTCGCTTTGTACTTGCGAAGAATCGTACGAAGCAAGGTGTAAGGTTAATTCAGCTGATAATACGGGCGCTTTTATGTATAGAGGCAGACGTACCATTTTTATACATTTTTGCACGCCAATTTTACGGTCTGCTGAAGCGGCCATATATGATGCAGCCATGACATGCCGGCCATTCTTCGCGGCCCATTTTCCGCGGATTCGTGCAAAAATTCGAAATTCTTCTGTGGGAACTTGGAGCCGTTATTTAGCTCTCTAGTTTTATCGATAAGACAGCCAGAAGCGCGCGTTTCCGCAAAATTTGTTCGAATCGCTGCGCTGCTTTTTCGATTTCCCTACATCTTCGATGGTGTTAATGGATTTGAAGTTTGACATTATATTTTATTAAAAAATTATATTAATATAATATTTGAGATTTATATTTAATGCTTTTATATTTTATATTAAGTGATATAATAATATTCAATTAAATATACATATTTCTATATATTATTAATATTATGTTTGTAAATTTATATTAAATATTTATATTTATATACATTATATTATTTTATTTTATTATACTAAATTATTATATTATTATATTAAATTATATTATTAATATTATATTTGTATTTATAAATATAAATTTTTACAAAATGCTTCAGTAGTAAACAATCATTATTATATTACACATTTTCCTCAAATTTTACTTACATAATTTTTCATTATGCCTACATCTTGCTCCTTCCACTTTACATAAATAAATCTTGATATTCCTACTCATTTGACACCTTGTACATGTCATTCGTCTACTCACAGAATGGATCAATGCACATGTCGGTAAGTAGAAATTCCCCTTTGTTTCAAGATAGGATGCGTTCCCAAAGTCATAAAAGCGAAGCGAACCATCTGTCTGACTATACTATCCAGTGAGATCAGACTTTCATTTTAGCGTTGATAAAGCTCCGAGGAAGGACCGGAGCGTCTATCTGGATTTGAGCGATTTATCTTGGCAATATGAGAGAAATATATCTTAGAGAAAGAACAACGTCTTTGTTTTGTTTTATTATCGCACTATACAGCCCGTGACTGCGGGCTCTGGTTTTGCATATAACTGATCGCTAATCAAGGGAGCTTTAATTTATTTAACGAACCGTATCGCCGAATCGCCTATAAAGCGCACCTGTTCATACAGACAGACGCCGATTCACAGAGACGCTCATTGTACATTTATATGCACGACAGTGTCGGCCAATCTAAATAGGTGTGCCGCGCATATAAACACATTCTGGCATGGCGAAAGTAGCAGATCACGATTTAACATCGCTCATTAACCCGGCTAATAATAGCCCGCGTGGTCGCAGGAAATCGAATTCATCTTAATAATCTCAACACCGTTCCGTCTCTCCCGCGATGATCGCTTTTACCTGCGTCTCGAATTACATTTTCCGACGAATAATCAAATCAGCGGGACTGTGCCATCATTA